CTTTATAAAAGGCAGACGAGCCGAAACCAGTTTGGCTCAGTGGATAGAGAGTTGGCCTGCGGACTGAAAGGTCCTGGGTTCAATTCCAGTCAAGGGCATGTACCTTGCTTGCGGGCACATCCCCAGTAGGGGGCGTGCAAGAGGCAGCTGATCAATGTTTCTGGCTTTCTATCCCTCTCTTCCTCTCTGTAAAAACCCAATAAAATAAATAAAAGGCAGCCGTGTGAGGTGGGGCTGTTTGCATTCTTCTGGGCAGGCTGGGGCTCAGAGAACTGATTGCAATAAGACCAGGGACACCACCATTAAGTCCTGTGTATCCCTCGCTGCCCAGGGACCAGCTTTCCCCTCTAGAAGTAGTTTCCCTATCCTGACGGGAGAGTTCTGTTCTTCCCCAGAATGGTCTCCTCCCGGTCCCCTGAACGAACTGAACTGACTCCTCGCCCCGCCCCTCCCACCCTGGATCTCTTGCTTTTCTCCCTCCAGCTACTCCCTCCTTCCACCAACAACTGAGTTCTACCCGCCTTTCTTGGTAGAACGGGTCGGCCGTTCCCTACTTCCTAGAATGGGGTTCTCTTTGGTTCCCCGCTCGCGGCAAAACTGGCGTGTCTGCCCATCCTCCCGGCGAAGTGCCCTCGCCCCTCCCGGCCCTCAGAGGGTCCCCCCGCCGGCCCCGCGGACGCAGCTCACAGGGTCCTTGGCCACCGTGAAGAGGAGGTCTCCCTCGCGGTTGTACTTGATCTGCGTGATGGACCGCTCATGGCCCTGCAGCAGGATCGGCTTCTGCGGGGACAGGACGGCAGTGTCAGCGCCCGGAACGGCCCTCGCCCCCGCCCCGGCCCCCACGGCAGCACCTCCAACTCAATGGAACTCACCATCGCCGCGGTGACACCGGGGGAAAAGGCAGCGTGCCTGGGACCGGAAGACGCTTTGGATCCACTTCCGGTTCACGAGTCTCCGCCCTTTCCTTCCCGGAAGTGGAAGGTGAGGCGTTGCCATGGCTGCGTCTCTCGGTGTGTAGGTTGGCCCATCCTCCTTTGAAGGCTTCTCACATCCACTCCCCACCTGTTTTCTGAGCCCCTCACCCCCAGTTCAGGTCCCACTCTCCACTTTCCTCACCTAACAGACCCTGCCACAGCCCAAGCCCGGCTCCTGGTCCGTCTCCCCGGCCTTCCGGTCTGCCCTGCCCGCCAGTGGCACCCGGGGCGTCAGAGAGCGGAGGTGGCGGGGGGTGGGGTGAAAGGGGGTTTTGGGGGGTGGCCAGCTGGGGACGGGTGGCCGGAAGCTGGCCGGCCCGGCGAGCGGCCGTTCGGGGGCGGGGAGAGGTCACTGGCGTCTTCCTCCAGGGCAGGTGCTGGCGCTGGTGCTCGTGGCCGCGCTGTGGGGCGGCACGCAGCCGCTGCTGAAGCGGGCCTCCTCCCGCCTGCAGCACGTCCAGGAGCGGACCTGGCTCCGGCAGTTGCTGCAGGAGATGAAGACCCTCTTCCTGAATATTGAGGTGCGTCTGTGAGTGACCTCTGATATCAATAAAAATATATTTAAAAAAATAAAAGTCTAAGAAAGATATCCTCGGGTGAGGATTAACAGGGAAGTCATGGGGTTCCAATTGTCCCCGGGGAGGGAGGATAAGGAAGGCTGTGGAGAATTTCCTCTGACCCCAGCACTACCAGGCGAGGTTTGTGGAAAAGAGAAGACACACACCACCTCTCGGGGCTGAGGGCTCAGGGAGGTGCAGATAAAGCGCTGCATGAGCTTCGAGGAAGGGGCTGGAGCAAGGGGGATTGCAGGATGGGGAGGATGCGAACTAGCAGGACTGAGGGAGAAGGCATTCAGGGCTGAAGCATAGGGTTCAGTCAGTAACTTTCCCTCTGCCTCTTGCTCTTTGGGGAGGGTGCCTGCAAGTGAAGGCAAGCCCACTGTCTCTGGTTTTCTCTTTGCAACCTCTTAGCTGCAGGGCACAGCTGGCTGGTTTGGAGAACACTGCCAGGCCCTGGGGTTGGTTTTCAGAGGGCTTAGTGCTCCATGGGTCCTTGAAGCATTCCTTCCTCCAAGAAAGGTTTATCTAGAAGCTCAAAGAAGGCAGTGCTGCTCAGTCATGCAATCACACTGACTTTGGATTTCATCTGTTTCCAGTACCTGATTCCCTTTTTCCTCAACCAGTGTGGGTCCCTTCTCTACTACTTCACCTTGGCATCAACAGGTGGGTCTCTGGCTTAGAGTCACTTTGGGGAGGGTGCCTGCAACACCTTGTCTCCATGAGTGAAGGTGAACCTACCATCTCTGGTTTTCTCTTTGCACCCTCTTCTCTGAGCTGGAGGGGCACAGTGGGCTGGTTATGAGTATCCTGCAGGCACTAGAATTGGTTTGAAGCCTCGCAGTTTTGTTTGTTATATATATATTTCAGAGAGGAAGGGAGAGAGATAGGGAGAAACATCAATGGTGAGAGAATCATCTATTGGCTGCCCACTGCACGCCCCCTACTGCGGGGGATCGAGCCTGCAACCTGGGCATATGCCCCTGGCCAGAATCAAACCTGGGACCCTTTAGTCACAGACTGATGCTCTATCCACCGAGCCAAACCGGCTAGGGTAAGCCTGGCAGTTTTGTGCAGCAGCAGAAGGAAAAGTAAAGTTCATTTTGCAACTTATCTTTGTCCAACATAGCATGTTGGTGTAGGATTTGAAGCCATATGTTACCTAAAGTTTATGCTTTTGAACTTTGCTATGGGAAGTCTCCCTGTTGTAGCTTCACCTCCCCCGGAGGCTCACCTGGCCGGCCTTGGACTTGAGGGGAGTTTGGACACCAAGTAGCTTTGGGGAACCTCTTAGAAACCGTGGGTGAGGGGATAGGCTAACCTCTAGACTAGGGGTGTCGAACTCAATCAGAGAAGGGGCCAAAATCTAAAATCCAGCCTAAATCGCGGGCCGAATGGTTTACTGAACAGTCATAAACTGTCATTGTGATGGAAACGCAGCGGAGTGCAGTGATGACAGAGCGGTGCGGGCCACATTGCAAGGCCTGGCGGGACGGATTTGGCCCGCGGGCCTTGTGTTTGACACATGTGCTCTAGACCTGCCACCTCAGCTTCAGCTAGAGCCACTCACTTGCATCTGTTTTACATTTTGAACTTCTCATAATGCTTCATTTAAAAAATATGTTTTTCATTGGCTTTTAGAGATGCAGAGTGAGAGAGAAACACCAATGTGAAAGTGAAACATCGATCAGCTGCCTCCTGCACACTCTCTCCAGGGAATGAGCCCACAACCCTGGCAGGCGCCCTGACTGGGAATCAAACCGGCAACCTTTCGATGTCTGGGACAATGCCCAAATGGAGCCACCCAGGCACGTGCCCGGGACTGGAATCGAATCGGTGGTGACTCTTCAGTTCGCAGGCTGACACTCTATCCACTGAGCCAAACTATGTGGCCTTTTTTAGCCTTGTTTCTTTTATAAATGCAAAGACATGATAAGGCTCTTCTTACAGTGTTGAAGATTAAGTGAGATATGTACACAAAGCACCTAGCACAGAATATGTGCTTAATAAATGTTTGGTAGGTATTATTGCAGTCATTCTGCCGAGTTTTGGTTGCCTGTCTGGCCAGATGACCTTCAGATCTCAGGAGCTCTCTTTCAGTGCAAATATCTCATGCTTATCAGCAAACCAGAGTGGTCTCATATCTTATAGCTCTGATCTTCATGCTGGGATCCTGAGAGCAAATTAGGAATTAGGAGACCGGGATTTGAATCCTGAGGTTTACTGTGACTTCATCTGAGAAAGGGAGTCTTGAGATACCTTTTAAATAAAAGCTGTCTAGTCCTGACTGGAGTGGCTCAGTTGGTTGGACATCATCCCTGCACTGGTTTAATTGTTGGTCAGAGCACGATACCCATTAAGGGGGTGGATGTGCAGGAGGTGGCCGATCAATGTTTCATCTCCCTCTAAAACTCAAAAAAAATTTTAAAGGCTGTCTTGATGATAAAGTGAAAGTGCTTTGTGCTTAGAAAGGCTTTTTTTTCTTTTCATCTTTTTTTTCAATTTGACCATTCAGATCTAACTCTAGCTGTGCCCATCAGTAACTCCCTGTCCATCGTCTTCACACTGATTGTTGGAAAGGTCCTTGGAGAAGATATTGGTGGAAAACGTAAGTCAGGCCACTGTAAGTGTGGGAAGCAGCTACATGGGCCTTGACACCCCCAGGCCAGAACTTTCCCAGAGCCATCTCCCATGGGTGGGTGAGGAGAGGACCTTCCCCCAGCCCTGCACCAGCTCCTACTGGCATGGCTGGGCTTAGAGCCCCTTCATTTCTATCCATTATCCCAGGAACACTTGCAGGCATGGTGCTCACCATGGCAGGAATCACACTCTGCATCACAAGCTCGGTGAGCAAGACCCAGGGACAACCATCTACCCTTTGAGTGGGCCAGCGCCACCCTCCAGCTCTGCTCTCCCCAGGAAGCCCCTTGGGCCCTGAGGCAGGGGATGGACCTAGCACTTCCATCTGAGCCTCAGCTTCCTCATCTCCTATGGGGATAATTACTGCCTCGAAGATCACGATAAGAGACTAAGAGTGGAAAGGTTTTGTAACATTCAAGAGCTGTTCAACAGCTAGGATTTAGCACAAGAAACTTCACACTCAACCTCAGCAACCTTTGGTTCCTAGCAGCTCTCCTCCTGCTGACACATGAGGCCCCCAGCCCGGCGACTGTCACTGTGGTCTGTTTGGATTCTCACAGCAGCAGGATCAATGGACTTCAGAGCCTCAGCTGCACTGAGAGGGCCAGCTCTAGTCTTTAAGCCAGAAATGCAGCAGGAGGCCTCCAGGACTCAGGCAGAAAGCCTTGGCTACCAATGGGGGGGTCTGAGGGGAGGGAGGTGAGCTGTCTGATAGCCTTGCATGTCTGCCCTCTCAAATAGATAAGACACCTGTGAGCCCAGCACTACCTAACCAGCGTTTGGCACAATGCCGGGCGAATGGTAGCCGGTAATAAATCTGTAAACAGACGAGGTTAGTGTTCTTTTATTGTGACAGACCCACCCCCAAGTTTGTGGTCTCTCCCAAGCCCAGCTGGCTACTCCTCTGGCCAGAGAACCCCATAGGAAATGACCTCAGCAAGCAAAGGAGGACGGGCTATGATTTAGAAGCAGAAGACTGGGGAGGGGCTGAGGGGCTGAAGCATATTCTGCAAGCCCAGGGGAGGCACTGGTTCTACAACAGGCTCCCGGGGCTGCGGATAGAATGTGGCTGCAGAGAGGTAGTCCCAGTTCCCGGCTGGGGCTGTGGCTCTCAAGATGGAGGAGCAGGGGCTGAGGTGGAGATAGCTGCCCCAGCTCCAGGCTGGTTCTCCAGGGGCAGGGCCTCATCCACTATCTGTGCTGGCCTCTGGAGGAGGGGGGAGGTCACAGAGAGTGGACCATTAGCATCCCATGCCCAGCGTCCAGCCCTCAGCCAAGTTTCCCAACCGCAGGAAAGGAAGAGACTTTAGAAATTAGGATCTGCTCTCTCGTTTAACAAGGTAGGAAGTGGGCTCTGAGATGTCAGATCTGCTCAGTCACGGGGAAGAACTGTTCCTGGGACTCAGGGCTGACAGTTTCTTTCCAGCTCAGAACTCCTGTCCCAGCATACCGCTTCCAGCACCAGCCCACCTGATCCAGGGGTTCCTCTGTCCGGGTGTCTGCATCATCGGCTACTTCCTGGGCCCCTTCTGTTTCCTTCCGTGGCTGGGGAGCCCGATACACTCCTGATGAGGGGACAACATTGGCTCAGGCTGAGCCCTGAACATTCTTTCCGTTGATCTCTACCAGCCCCTTCCCCTCCCCTGAGCCTTGCTCCTTGTTACCAAGGAGGATGGCAGGATACTTCAGAAGCAGGACTCTGGCCCCCACCCCGTCCTTTCCAAATCCCACCCTGAAGACTCATTTCTCTGAGTTTCCATGTACTTCTTTCCATATGCCAAGTGCTTGTAGAGACAAGGGACTGGCCCTGGCTGGGTAGCTTGGTTGGTTGGAGCATCATCATTGTTCACAAAAAGGCTGTGGTTTGATTCCTGGTCAGGGCACATATTTAGGTTATGGGTTCTCTCTCTGGTTGAGGAGTGCATGGGAGGCAACCAATCAATGTTTCTCTTTTATATAAATGTTTCTTTCTCTTTCTTCCCCTTCTGCTCTCTAAAAATCAATAAAAAAATCCTCAGGTGAGGATTAAGAGAGGCAGGCAGACGAGGGACTGGATATGCACATGGGAGACAGCCCTGCTGAGGTCAGGGCTGGTCTGTACCTGGGCATTGTGCCCCCATGGACATTCCCACAGCGGCAGGAACCTCCCCTGTCCCAGAGAGAAGGTGGCGGAGAAGAGTCTCGGTCCAGGGGCCCCTCACCTGATGGAAATGAGAGCATGGGGAGCAGGCTTCTTGACTGAGTCGCCTGCTGGGGTCTGGCATAGAAAGCAGGTGGCTCAGTTTGGCTTGGTTCCTTTGGAGAGGGTTGGGTTGCGTGTGTCCTGTGGCCACGGGCCTGCAGAGGGGACACTGCGCTTGGGCCACAGGCACTGGTTCTTACCTTCTCTACTCCCAGTCCAGGCTAACGCCCCTGGTGCCTGTGGCAGCTTGGAGAGGAGATGCTGTCCATCTTTACAGCTGCATCCCGCCCCGCTCCCTCTTCCATCAGGTAGCCTTCTCCAGGAACACAGAGCATCAGGGAGCCCCAGCTGGCTTGGCTCAGGGGATAGAGCATCAGCCTGTGGACTGAAGAGTCCTGGGTTCTATTCCCAGTCAGGGCACATGCCTGGGTTGTGAGCTTGATCCCCATTGGGGGTCATATAGGAGGCAGCCAATCAATGATTCTCTCTCATCATTGATATTTTTATTTCTCTCTCCCTCTCCCTTCCTTCAATCAATTAAAATATCTATTTCTTAAAAAAAAGAAAGAAGGCCAGCAAAACCAGGCTGTGTCTCCCTAACCCCCGCTGGATGCTCACTGGCTCATCTCATGGGACATAATAAGCTCCTTGGACTCTGCTATGCCAGATATACCACTTCTCTCTGTCCGCACTGAACCTGGCGAGCAGGCATTAGGTCCAGGAAGTCAGCGTCCTCACATTCTTCATAGAGCCTGGGTGAGCGGACTTTCCGATCAGGTTCTGGTCTGGCCCCTACCACTCAATAACTGTGCCACCCTGAACAAATTACTTCACTCCTTTGAACTCTATTCTCTCCTCTGGAAAATGGGAATAATAATCTGTCTTTCACACGATTACTGAGAGGATGCAGGGAGGTAAGGGCAGAGCCTGAGCTGCAGGAGGAGTCAGCCAGTCACTCTCCTTCCTTCCCTCGCCCCCTTTGTCCTCACAGGTCACCTACCCCTTGCTTGTGGGGCTTAGACTTTGGGTCTCGAGGATGCCTGCAAGGAGAAAGAAAAGGCTTGTAGGAGGCAAAAGAGGACATGGGGTCAGGTTGGCTTGCTCGGCTCTAACCAGCTACCCGCTGCGCGCGCACGCCCCCCCCCCCCCCCACACACACACACACACATACCAGCAGCCCCTGGGCAGTGAGGGGTTAGGCACCAGCAGCTCCAGGTAGGGGAGAGCCTTGAATTCATCTTCTCCAACAGCCACATAGTAACGGCCACTCACCAGAGCCTCCCTTGCTGACAACGGGAGGCCCTCCAGGGTGCAGAGTCTGGGGGAGAGGTGAGTGGAGATGCCCCTTCATATTGGGCAGATTATGAGGGGGTGGGTACAGCTATTCCAGGGTATCCTGTGGCTACAGGTCCTCTGGGCACCAGGGTCAGTCACCTAGGCTCTGCCCTGGCTCTAAGAGCTGGGCTGGAGGGGCCTCTCCCTGTGGCACAGAAAGAAATCCCATTTAGCAAAATGTGCTTTCCTTTTGCCTTTTCTTCCTCAAGGACAGTCGAAACCAGCGAGGAGGCTCCCTTGGGAGATTTTTGGGCTCCTCCAGTCCCCATACTCACTTGTGCACAGCCCCGCTCTGTAGTTTGGCCTTCTCAGTCAGGAGCTTCAGCACTGTCTCCCAGTCCTCGCTGGCAGCCTGGGACAGCTTCAGGCCAAATGGGGGACTTAGCAGGTCCCCGTTCCTGAACACACTGGGACAAAGAGCAGCCTGGTAAGGGGGAGGGTCCCCAGAACTCCCTATGTATGACAGGAAAAAGGGTGGCACAGGGGTCAGAAGATGGTTCAAGAACCAGCAGTGCATTGGTCCATTTCCACCCATCAAGCATGTGGGACTTTTTATATTCCCACCAGGCACCATGGAATAAACCCACTCACGTTTTCTCAGTCTCACCGAGACAAAAATGCATGCCCCTGCTCTGGACACGAGCACTTACTGGATATAGCAGGGAGAGCCTGCAGGTCTCCATCCAAGCGCTCCGTCACCTGGGTGCTGAGTCACAGGACAACACTGAAACCCAAATCGGGTGAGTGCTGAGGCCTTTGGTTAGGGTGGGTCAGTCCAAGGCAGGCAGGGTGAGGGCAAGGATCCGGACTGGGGCAGAGGGGGCAAGGAGGGGTGGTACTGGTCATATCTTCACCAAAGGGTTCTTCTAACTCCCCATCACGTTCTAATCACCCCTGCCCATGTGTTTTACCGCTTCCTCTTTCCTTTGGGGAGAGATCAAGTGAGAGGCTGGGAAGGGAGCAAGGGATAGTGTCTGGAAATCGTACACCCAGAAAACACAGTATCTGTTCCAGAGTAGGCGTGGAGACTGCTGTGCTGAGCCTGGCAGGTCCTGCCCTTCCCAGGGCCCCTGGCTTCCCAGAAGAAATTGGAGGCAATCCCTGAGGGGGGAGGACTTACTAGTAGTCTGCTGCTTTTCCCACCCGGATCCTTCCCTCCAGGGGGCAAGTAGCTGAAAGGACAGATAGGCCATAGGTCATCTTGGGGCGCCTTGTAGATGCTAGAGCTCGGGGCTGGGGCCCAGCTCACTAGCCATCCCTTCCCAGTGGAACAGTCTGTCATTTCAGTCCGGAAACAGATGCTGGCACTTGAACCTGCCTTAGTGTCCTCAGTCAGGTTGACACAAACCGTAAGATTAAAGGCAGAGAGAAACTAATTCATTAAGCATCCTACTGCATCTCAGACATTTTCTCACCCGTGAGGAAGAGCCTTTGGTAACGGGCTCAGCCTGCGGAATGTTTTCCTTCTCACGGGCTGGTTGTGATGGACACAAAACATCAGTGTCAGACTTCAACCTTAACTGTGGCTCCACTATTTGTTACTTAATTATCTTGATTTCCCCTTTCTAAAGGATGGGAACAAGACCACCCCTTTTATAGGGTTGCTGCATTTATATTAAACTGATAAGAACAATTAAACTGATACTACACTTGATCTTAGCCAAAAGGCCAAGAAGCGATGGGTTGCTGCATTTATAATGTTTATAAAGTGTCTGCACATACATAGTACTGAACATGTGCTATCGCCATTACCTCCCTCCCTACTCTGACCAGCCCCAGCCTACTCACTGCAGCTTGCAGAATCGCTCGAAGCCAGCAGCCACGTACTGCCCTCCGTTCTGCAGGTCGGCCAGGTCAGTGACAGGGTGGCCGTGACAAGGGGTGTACAGGGCACGCACCGCCAGTGAGGCCTGCACTGCTGACGTGACCTCTCTGAGGAAGGTCTCCAGGGTGGGGAAGCGGCGTGGGGTGACCACCAGCTGGCGGCCTGGGAAGAAAGGGTCCCCATTCCGGTACACCACTACCCTCTTGGCTGCCATAGTGTGCTCTCCGCCAAAGACGCAGAGCTGTTGCCAGGCAACGAAGGCAGGCCTGGGAGCAGTGCCAGTCAGAGGTGGAGGCCTGCCCTCACTCAGGAATGCAGGGAGAGCCTCAGCAGGAACATGTGTCCACTTTCAGGGTCTTATTCAATCTGCCCTTGCACGGGCCTCTCCAGAGCAGCAGGAGTGTAATCACTATGTACAAGGAAGATGCTGGGGCTCTGAGAGAGGCAGTGGCAGAGATCACACTGAAATACAGATGGTCCAATACTGGGCAGAGGGAGGGCTTCTCAGAGTCTCCTGTCACCTTACAGCCCAAGGGCTGAGCTCAAAGGAGGATCAGCTGTGGGAATTATTTCCCAAGGATGGCGAGTGTGCTTCCAGCCAGTTCTGGTAGGAAGGCCCAGTGAATGCAATGAGACTCAGAATCCAAGGAAAAGCTTTATTTTCCATCAGGTCTCCCCATGTACTTACCTAGGTAACTCCCGTCCTGAAATTTGGATTGCGCCCAGGCAAAGGATGAAAGTGTCCTTCTCCCTGTACTGGTGCCAACTCTTTGCTCCAGCTTCTCTTAGCCCCACTGGCCACCAGCAGCCAGGGGCAGGAGGTAGAACTGGTACCGGGACCTGCCTCCTTGCCCTTTCCTCTCAGCCCTGGCTCCCCCCGGGTCTAGCCTGCTGTCCTGTCTCCCGCAGCCTGTGCCTCCAGTGCTTCTCTCCCATGCTATCTGCCCTGCAGAAGACAGCTTCTCAAGTGGCCTTGATCTCCAAGGTGCAGTCCTCTGGCTTTTCCATCCTTCAGAGCTAGGCTCATTGGAATCTCTACCTCTGGGGCTTTTATTCCTGGGGGTCTGGCCCTGGGTGGTTTAGTCCTCCAGAGATCCAGGCTACCACGTTCTGCCGAAGTCCCACCCCAGGTGACACGGTTCTCTGAGAGGCCCAACTCTCGTGGCCTAGCTCTTTGGCAATTAGGCTCTTTGTGGTCTGACCTTCTGGGAGAATTATCTTCAGTATTTGGGTCCACGCGGTGTGTGGACAGCTGTGTTCTGGCCTTTCCAGAAGTTTGACCCTTAGACTTGAGGCCTTTGGGAGTCTGGTCCTCTAGTTCCGTCAGCTGTAGGCAGGTCCCCGCAAAGGTCTGTTCCCCATGATGTGGCTCCCTGGTGAGCCAGTTCTCTATGGCTTGCTTCTCTGATGGTGTGGGAGGCTGTGGTCCAGCCCTCCTGCTGTTTGGGTCCCTGTACTTGGCCCCAGCAGTGGTTTCATCTGTAGTGGCCAGTCTTTCTGGGGATTTGCGAGGTTGTGGTCTGAGCCTCCAGCAAGAGTCGTCTGCATGGTCTTGCTTTCCAGGTATCCTGTCTCTGCAGTCCTGGTCTTCCAGAGGGGGGCCTGGCTGTGACCCAGCTTTCTCACAGCTCTGTCCTCCGTGGTCTAACCTTGCCTCCGGGGATCCCAGTGTTTGTTTGAGAACTAGGTACTGTTGGGAAGAGAACAAACACTGTACCAGGCAGGCCTGATGGGCATGGCAGGAGGCTTGTCCCTCACCGCCACCCTGGGCTCTAAATGTGCACCAAGGGCTCCAAGTTAGTGCCTACCTACCTCCTTTCGGCTATTGATGGCCTGCTGTATCCACAGCAGCTCCATGGCCAAGTGGCTGCGAAGGTTCTGGAGCTCCTGGAGGTCTGTTGGACTGTGGGGCAGTCCTGGACCTGTAGCTTCTGTGAGGGAGGGAGGAATGGGAGAAAGCCTTGAGGGGTAAATACTGGGCAATGACCTAGCATTAGACCCTAGCACCCTCCTCCTGCCCACCCACAGTTGCCCTCAACTAGGCAGAAGGAAGGAGGATGGGGTGCAACTTATCTAAAAAAAAAAAAAATTTCACTTTGCCGTGGCCAGTTTGGCTCAGTGGATAGAGCATCGGCCTGTGGACTGAAGGGTCCCAGGTTTGATTCCAGTCAAGGACACATGCCCAGGTTGTGGGCTCAGCCCCAGTGAGGGGCATGCAGGAGGCAGCTGATCAATGATTCTCTTTCATCATTGATGTTTCTCCCTCTCTCTCTTTCTCCCCTCTCCCTTCCTCTCTGAAATCAATAAAAAAATAGATTTTTTAAAAAGCCTTTCACTTTTTAGATGGGAAAGTTGGCGCCCAGAAAGGGTGACGGACTTGCTCTGATCTAGGCAGAGAGGTACCTGGGTTCCCCGTCCTTGGTATAGCTTCAGTCTCCTCTTGGCCGGGTTTCCTGGTTTTCCTGTTTTGCTGATCCTGAAGCCAGGAGCTGTCATCTCTGCAGTGAAGACTTTCTGAGTTTGCTGAGCTCTCTTCTGACTTCTTCAGCATCATCTCCTCTCTCTCAGGCTCCTTACATGGGAAGGAACTCCACAGTTCCTGCTCTGACTTTGGTACCCTCTGTCCAACTTTCCAGTTCCGATGGGGTTTTGCCTTCTGAGAAATCAGAGAGAGATGAGTGCCCCATGGGCTAAACCTCTAAGTATCTGGGTGCCATTATGCTTACAAGTTGGGGGGAGATTCAGGATTGGGGTGTGAGGAAGTAATTGAAAAAAGCTTGTCAGCAGGAAGGGTGGAGTCTACCATTCCTTTGGATCCCCTACCCCGGCCCCTTCTCCTTCTGGGTGTGTACTACCTGTGGGAGAAACTGGGGCCTGGGAATCCAGCCTTCAGTCCACTGCAGTGTGCCCAGATCACCTTCGATCTCATGCACAACAGCCTCATACTCTGCTCGCAGACTCTGGAACCGGCGTCGGACCAGGAAACCCCGGACGCAGGCCTGGTGGGGAAAGAAAACCTAATAAAAAGTGGAGGCATCTTTTGGGATTCTCCTGGGGAGGTCATCCGTGGCCACGGGGAAAGGAGAGGTGACGCCGTGCGCTGGGGCTCCGGGCTGGACCCCTCTCTTCCATGTAAGGTCCTTCCAGCGTTTCCATGATCCTCAAAGTGTGCGGTGGGAGCGCGCGGGGGGCCCAGCCTTCCCCAGGGCGGTGGGTGGGTCGGAACCTCTGAGTTCCCACGGGGGTATCATGTGCACCCCGACCGCCCGGTACCTGCAGCAGCACCACCTTCCGAACCAACCGCTCCCGCTCCCGCTCCGGCTCCATCTCCATCTCCATGTCAACCGCCCGCGCGGCTGCCGGCGCTGCGTAGTGCGTCACTAGTCCGCGCCGAGAGCCGGCGGCGCTGGCCCCGCCCCCCGTCTCCATGGCAACCTTCCCTCCGCCCGGGATGGACAGGCCGAGCCTCCGCCCCCTCCCGGGGCGCTCGGAGGATTCGGACTCCGGAGCCGCACCTCCCGAACCAAAGTGTGCTGCGCGGGGGAGTGGGGGGTCTGCCCGGCCGAGAAAGGCGCGGTGCGGAGGGAGGACACGGAGCCGCTTGCTTTCATTCCGTTTAATTCCGTGGATGCCCCCCTCCCCGTAGCACCTGGGGGGCCACAGAATTCGCAGTGGAGTCAGTAAAAAGTCACAGTTTGAAGGGAAGGCGGTCTGGGTGTAGGTCCGACACCTACACAGCCGCCTGCTCCTCAGGCTCTGCGTTCTCGGCCAGGTGCAGCTTCTGTCTGTGCCCGTCAAGGATCGGACACTGCGGACCCAGGCTTCCCAGCCCTGTCTTCCCCGCACAGCTGGCTCTCCACCTGCGAGAAGGGCTGTGCAAGCGACTCTGCGGTGGTTGTGGTCTGGGCTTGCAGTCTCCATCAGACTTCTTGCCAGGTGGCCTAGCCCATTCTCTTTTGATCTAGTAGATCCTGCAGGTGCCTGCACCCTTACTGTTTCTGACCAGAACTAAATAGGGAGATCATCTAAATCACTGCAAATAATTGAGTGCTGAAAGGTTAGGAAAACATTCGACAAGCTTTGCCACGGGTTGGTGTCAGCTTAAGTGCTTGCAAAGATTTTGGATAAGTAAAACATATTCCCTGCAACTACCTTTCCCCTAATATTTGGGAAATTCTCCCTGCATTCCTTTTCCTGGGCGGGGCAGTCTGTGGCTAATTCTGACTTAGTAGGACATTGGAGTGTGGGGATGATGGTTACAGGTAAACACTCCTGGAGGGTGGTAGGGAGAGGAAATTGATATAATCTCTGGAGGCCCATACACTCATACACAGGTTCCGGAAAGGATACATGGAATTACTGAGATCTTCCAGCTGTGGAGAGAAAGAGACATTCCTGTCAGCAGAGGCACCAGGCCAACCCCAGATGTTCTGAGTGCCGTTTGCTAGTGGGCTTGAGAGACCAGAGCTCTCAGCCTTATGCACCCCCAGCTTTTCACCCAGGGGTCAGTAATGGCCGTGGGAGCAGCACTTCCCCCTCCCCTGGGCCCCAGGCAGCAGAGCGCCCAGCCCTGACCCACATTGCTAAGCAGCTGGTCCAGGTTGCGGTCAGCCGTGGTCTTCTTCTGCTCTTCGGGCAGCCCCTCAGTGACCCCGTCCTCTTCTTCCTCCTCTTCCTCCTCCTCCCCACACACGTCCAGGCTGAAGTGCAGCCGGGCCAGCTTCTCCTGCATCTCCCGCACGTGCTCCAACTGCTCGAAGGAGCATTCCTTCCCTGGACGGCACCTGTCTGAGCCCTGGGAACAACTGGGGACCGAGGCCCCAGCCACTCCCCAGAGACCAGGCCTCTAGCCGCGCCCCCCCCCCACACACACACCCCCTCCAAACCCAGCTCCCGGGACTCACCGAAGGCCTGGAGCCGGCCTGAGTGGAAGTCATTGAGCAGGTTCAGCAGTCCTCCCTCCATCTCATAAACATCGGTCACCTCGGTCAGGAACGAGTGCTGCAGGGGGGTGCCTGCAGAGCCACCCCCCCCTCCGGCCAGCACCGGGCGGCATTTCTCCTTGCCTGCCCTGGTGGAGTGGACACGACCAAAGTCACAGGGCACCCCCAGGTCTTTTGTGCCGTCTGTCTGTACACTAATTCATCGTCCTACCCACTCACCCACATAAACGGATGTGTGTTCTCCTGGCCTGCGCTGGGCACCAGGCCTGATAAAGGGAAGGGAGGATGAGGAGGGGTGAGGGTAAGAGATCAAAAAGAGGTGTTTTTTTTTCTGCCGATGACAAAGTCAGAGCCATGCCTGGAAGGAGGCTCCTGGGTTCCTTGTCCTCACTGTTCCTCAGTGAGTTTGGGGACAGTTACTACCTTATTGCCATGAGAGCTCTTACCTCTCCCCATAATATCTTTCTGACCCTCTTCTATTTAAAAACTTAAATTTTTTTTTATTTATTGATTGATTTTGAGAGAGAGAGAAAGAAAGAGAGAGAGAGAAAACACATTGATTTTGTTGTTCTACTTATGTATGCAATCTTTGGTTGATTCTTATATGTCCCCTGCCTGGGGTCAAACTGCAACTTTGGGGTAACAGGAAGATGCTCTAACTAACTGAGCTACCCGGCAAGGGCCTTTAAAAACTGTTTTGAATTTTCCATGGCCCTTAGAACGACACGTAATGACCTTCCCTGCCTGGCCCCCATCTGCAATTCCATTCTCCAACTGCGTTTCTTTCTTCTCATTCCTGACCGGTCCGAGCTTCAGCTGTACCCACTGTGGCTGTCCCTAAACATGCCCCTAAGGCAGGGGATGTCAAAGCCACAGGGAAACAGAGCAATTGGAGAAAGAACACACAGGGACACAATATAGGGTAGGGTGCAGATTTCCAAACATTAAAAAAAGAAAAAGCCATGGATGGACCTTGAGAATGTTATGCTTTGTGAAATAAGTCAGTCAGAAAAAGCTAAGAATGATTTCACTTGTATGTAGGATATAAAACTGAAACAGACACAGACAACAGTGTGGTGGTTACAGAGGGAAGGGTGGGTGAGCAAAGGGGAAAGGGGCAAATATATGGGGTCAGAAGATGCCACCCCAATACATTTAATTTAAAAACCAGGCAAATAAGTCTAATTGTATACCTGAGTGGCTCCTCACCTTTTCCTACTTAGACACTTGGGAGCCACCAGCCCACTGTGGTTTCTGGAACTTTCCAGGCAGTGTTTTTCTTCTTTCTTATGCCAAGCAAGCTCCTTAGAACATTCTCCCTGCCCAGTGTACCACCAGCTTTTGTCTCTAACTTCCTGGCAGGCAGTGCTGCTCACTCCCTGCTCTGAGGTGGTTCAGTCATCTCAGGTGTGTCCCGCCCACCCGTTTCCCCACACCCTCTAGGATAGAGCATTTGGGTTCTCAGGGGCATCCCCCGGGAAAAGCATCAGTTACTGTTCAGGTTCTAAGGGCTAAGGTCCCTTTACAGGGCTCAGCTTAGAGTTAGGGTTCCCCCCCCCTTCTTTCCCTTTCCCTCTGTACCCACCTCTTGAACTTGGCCCTCTGTTTGGGGGACGGCAGGTGAGGGAGGCCCAGGGCCAAGGAGCCACTGTGGCTGGTGGGCACAGGGACCCTGCGGAGCGTTCCTGGGGCTGCCGCCGGCTGGGTCAGGCAGGGCTTGGGACTCCTTTTCTTCTTCTTGTCCTCCATTGGTACTGGCTGGGCTGCAGGCCTGGGTGGGAGGCAGCCCCACTGAGATCTGAGAAGCAAAATCATCCCTTCACCTCCCAAGCCCTGAGAGCTGCAAAGGAAGGCCCTGGACTTTCCAGCTATCCCTTCACATCTGTCAGGGCCTCTGTCCCCTCATCCGTCCAGTACCGGCAGGGCCCGTTGCCAGCGCCTACTGCTGGGTCATGGATCTGCACCTGAAGGACCTTTTGAGCCCACACAGGTCCGCACCTGTCCTCCAGCCCCACCTGAAGGGCTGCACCGGTAGGATTCTCCAGAGGCTGCCGGCTTCCCTGCCCTGGAGCCCAGGGGGCGGAGCTGGCGGAGGAAATGTGGAGGACAGGGAGGCAGGGGAGGCGAGCTGGCAGGAGCGCCAGAGGATTAGGGGTGTCTTAGCCAGGCCATGGTCTATACATCAACTGCTTAGGCAGAAGCTGGGAGCATCTGCTTGGGAGGTGACCAAGGTGAGGGTGTGCCACACACTAACCACCGGAGGGTGGATAACAGCGGGAGAAGCGGTGGCATGCAGGGCAGGCTCAGTGTGGGGTTTTCCCCCCACCCTCTCTTCCGTCCCCGCCCCAAACTCAAACACCAGGCAACTCTCCTAAGTTCCCCGGGACAGGCTTCCAGCTGCTTCACCCTCCCCACTCACAGAGTCCCTGCTTGGCTTCAGCTGGGGTGGGTGGTGGGCAGCAGCTGGCCGCCTTGGCCCCAACAATGGCTGGGCCTCCAGGCCAGCTCCGCCCGCAGGCCCAGGTCTGTTAGGTCCTCCCCAGGGAGGTCCGGGGCCCTTTCCGGGGTTTTCCCAGCTGCTCCTTCCAGGATGCTACTCCCACGCCTGAGTCTGCACTCCGGGATGGTGGTGGTGCCAGGGCATTTAAACTGGCACAGGGCTGGTTGGCAGTCAGGGGGTGTGGCAAAGGGGAGACCGGCGGGAGCGTGACCCAGTTACGGTCTGGATAGAAGAATTGGAGTGGGAGCCTCTGCTCCCCAGGAACCGCTGGGGACGGGCTGGGATCTATTTCCCACTCACCCCCCAAAACCGTGTGCCAAGTGGATCGCTCAGCTCAGGAGCCAGGATCTCAAGGGGAGCGTGATGCTGCCCCACCCCACTCCCGGGGGCAACAGACCTGGAGCTCGGGGTCTGGGCTGAAGCTTCCGTGAGTGTTCCTCCGCCCTCAGCACTCTCCTACCGGGAACGCGAACGGGAGGGGTGCAAGCTGAGCTGGCAGGAGGCAATTTGCATTTAAAGAGAAAGTGACCTTTATCGCTGGTGGTGGGATAAGACGGGAGAGCATCTCCACATTTATTATGCTGTTCCCCTCGGGACTTTACCTCCGCACCCGAACAAGGTGTCTGCGATGTTGTGTGATGGCAATCCAAAAATCCTTTCACTTTCCCATCTGCTTTGGAGAGAAACTATAGTCTCACAAAATGGTGGTGGCTTTGCCAGAAAGAGGAATGCAGAGAGGGAAGATGAGCGGACATATATCAATATAAAAGCATGTAAGAAGCACCAGAGCAGCAGCAACAGGAAGACAATGATCTATCAATGAGTCCAGGACCTCTTTAAGCATTTTATGGTCATTTAATCCTCATAACAACCTGACGGAAGGTACCGTCATCACCTCCTTTTCCTGACAGCCAACAATGGTCTTTTGAGGGCAGTAGCACTCCTCCCACAGCACCCAGGCTGCGCTCAGTCACTGATGAAGTGACCGGACCAGTGTCTACCCCCCTGCCCCCCACCCCCAGGCCCAGGAGACCTGGGAGGGGCATCGGGTGAATGGAAACCTGTGAGTTTGACCGAGGCTGACATCACACACACACACACACACACACACACACACACCCCGCTGCTCCAGGTTGGGCATGTGACAGGGTGGGGCTGGGGGTGGGGGTCAATGGGGCAGCTATTTAAAGACCTGGCAAAGGCTCCGGCTCAGGTCCTCAGAGAAGCATCTGATGCAACTGGAGACAAGCTGTTCCACAGGCTCAAATAACTGCCCCAGGCCAGTGCACACAGCTCCTCCCGAGGGGCAGGGCAGCTTCCCTGGGCCTGGGCCTGAGGCTGCTGGAGAGGGATAAGGCACTGTTTCAGCATGCTCCAGAGCAAGGCTCTGTCCCAGTGCTTCCAATGCCCAGGCTGCTCCTGAAGGGGAGGCATTAGGTCAGGACTTGTTCAATAAGCAGGGATCTGAGAGGAGGCCTGCATAGGCCATGGCAGAGCGGACAACTGGAAGGCCCTCTGCTTCTTCACCAGAACTGCCGGCGTGGCACCCGGCTCCTCTAGGAAAGTGGCAGAGGGCCCAGGCGCACCTCTACGGTGAAGTTATTCTTAGAGCTGCTTTGCTCAGGGCTCCCAGTTATGGCGGCCTCCCCCAAAGGGGAGATAGTAAGGACCTTTGGGACCAAGAACTGTTTTTTTTTTTGTTTTTTTTTTAAAAAATATTTTATTGATTTTTCTTACAGAGAGGAAGGGAGAGGGATAGAGAGCTAGAAACATCGATGAGAGAGAAACATCCACCAGCTGCCTCTTGCACACCCCCTACCGGGGATGTGCCCGTAACCAATGCACATGCCCTTGACCAGAAATGAACCTGGGACCCTTCAGTCCGCAGACCGAGGCTCTACTGCTGAGCCAAACCAGTTTCGGCTGGGACCAAGGACTGTTAAGCCAGCGTGGACACATCTACCTGTGGAGGCCTGGAGGGGAGGGCACTTGGTGTCTGTCATTGGCTGGCCATTCATGTGTGGTCCTTTGTGATGAACAGCCCAGGCCCCAGAGAGAACAGGGTGCTGGGTGAGACATCCAGAATGCGTCCCACATAGGAGGTTGGGGTAGGTGAGCGGAAGTGCATAAGAAACAGTTCATTCTTTTAAAAAAATTCTCACTGGAGGTTGTTTTTACTGAGAGAAAGAGAGAGAAAGGAGAGAGAGGGAGAGGGAGAGGGAGAGAGGAGAGGGAGAGAGAGGGAGAGGAGAGAGGGAGGGAGAGAGAGAGAGAGAGGTGTATCCATTAGCTGCCTCCTGTATGCACCCGGACCCTGACCAGGGATTGAACCTGAAATCTTTTGGTGCAGGGGGATGACACTGCAACCAATGGAGCCACCCAGTTGGTGAAACCGGTTCATTCTTAACTGTATGCAGAATGTGGTCAAAGAACACAAAATCAAAGGAAAGGAACCTGGATGTCCCTGGTGCGCTGGTGCCAGATGTTGCCCATGGCAGAGTGCCCAGATGGAAGTGATGCCACCTAATTTGGATCTCACCATGAGCCTAGCTTTCTGTTGCCTTTCTTTTGCATTCCTCATGGACCCTCCCTGTCCCCTACCTCAAAACTGTCAGCGGGTCTCCCTGGTATAGCCCGAATTCCTTCACCTGGCCACAGGCGCTGGGTGACTTATTTGGCCCTGCCTCATCTCTTCCACGCCCTCCAGTGCACCGGCATTGACCACTGTTACTACACAAGGTGGGAGAACGTCCGGTCTGCGGCTACAAAAGGCCCGTGAAATAAGTTGGCGTGACCCTGCCAAGGCAACCATAGGCAGGACTCGAAATTCAATAAATCTAAGAGCATTTTTCATATCAACACATATATTAATTGTTATAAATATGCAATGGCCCTATACTAAATGGTTATTGAACTTCTACCTGCCCTTTGGGCCATAGGCCCTTCCAGGTATCCTCCTGTTCTCCTGCTGGAGGGGACAGGGCTTTCCTCCTCTTTGCTCCCATAGGACAGCCCCCCACTTCCACATCTAAACATTCCTCTTCCCTCACCAGCCTGTGAGCCCTCGGAGGGCAGGGCCAATTTTCAACTGTGTGAGAATCATTTCTGGTGCTCCCATATACGTGTGTATCATGTCAGCTGTGCCGAGGGCTCCTCGGGCAGCTCTGGTGAGCCCGTGTCCTGAGCTGGCAGGGAGGGCACTTTGGAAGATGCAGGATGTCAGGGCACAGCCAGACCTGGCAGCAGATCCAGATAAATCACTGATGGCTGGATGGATTCAGAAGCCCAAATGACCACAAAGGTCACGAGAAAAGCAATAAGGCAACAGACTCTTTATTTAATATGGTTTAAAATACATCAAAATCAAGTCCCTGGCTGTTGTGAATACCAAAATGAGACCCCAACCAAAAAAAAAAAAAAAAAAAAAACCTGTCAGCACAGCTTCGAACAAACCTGGGTGGCCAAGTGGGCCGTAGGGAAGCAGTTAAGGGACAGATGACAGCACCCCTCCCACCGGAGATGGGTACCCGGCTGTCCCTAGGGTGACCTTCTGTGCTGTGCAAGGTGGGAGGGCTGGAGCAGCTGGACAATCAGCTCAGCAGGCCTTGGCCTCCCCTAGACACCAGGGCAGCTCCAGGGGCCTCCTTGGCCAGCCCTCAGCAGGGCCACCAGTGGGGTAGAGAAGGGAAAATAACCATCTTTACAGACATAACATTCTCTTACAGAAAAAAGTGCCTGAGCTCAGCCCATGGTCCAAAAACCTCATGGAAAAGGAAAAGTGCTGTTGACACCTCTTAGAATCTGGTGTGCATGGAGCTCTCAGCTGGACAAGGTCTGAACACAAACTACTGTCAGCAGAGCAAGTGCTCTGGGCTGTGAGCCTCGCCTGCTGCGGTCCCCTGGAGGAAAAGCTAGCAATCCAAGAAATCAACACAGCTCTTGGTCCTAGAACTGAGGTCATGTGTGCGGACCTGCCCTAGTGAAGAAGGCACTGGCCTTCAGAGGCCACAGCCCCTGCACCTGGCCCAGGCTCCCGGCTGGCAGAACCCAGTACCTGGGCTGACTTTGGAAAGCGGAGCAAGCAGAACAGCTGTAGTGATTACAATTTGGTCAATGGAGTTAGAGGAATGCGATCCCCACCTGCAGGCTGGCCAGGATGCCCAGAGCTGAGAACCAAGGTTCCACCCCGCCCAGGGCCTATTATTTCTGACCTGGGAAGCCCAGCTGGGGCCACCTTGCTCACTGTAGCTCCACTTGGTTTCAGAGAGCTGTTGTGCCGAGTTTCCACCCCACCACACTGGGCTCCCTTCCCGCTAACCCCATGGGCTTTGAGGTAGGTGAAGTGAGGCAGGCCATCATGTGGGCTGCTGCAGGTCTACCTGATCTTTAAAGGGATGGGCAAGAGCTTCTACCTCCTCCCAGTGCTCCCACAGCCCAGCAAACCCTGTATGGGGCAGTGCTCAAGTACCTCAGCGGAGCATGAGTGAGGGAGCCGTACTGGGACAGGAAGAGGCATGTTCAGGGACCATTCTAGACACACCCCTGTCAGAGGGAAAGACAAGACCTTGGTAACACTTCTCCACGGGAGAGCAGCATCTCAGCCAGGGACAGTAAACAGGCCTCCGCACTCCCACTGGCTGCTGAGGGACCTCAGGAAGTGAAACTCAGGAATGAGCAGGGAATACACTGAAGAGACCAGTGGGAACGATGGAGCAGAGAAGCGGTGTACCTTTCACTTGCCATCTCAGGTCAAAGTCAGAACACAAGTATTTAATAATCTTCATGAACCTATTTTATGAGGGATTTAAGGGCTGAAAGAATGGGCTAGTTGTGCAAGATGAAAGAACCTGTATGATAATGAGTTAGCTTTAAGAAAATACAGCAAGCATCAGCTCAACCGTTTTATCTACCTCGGTCTGCGGCTCTCTCGGCTACACTGAAGCCCAGCAGTTCTGCTTCCTGGTCCAAGGCTTTGTTGTTCCAGAAAACTGCTCTGTATAGAGATGGCCTAATACCTTAGGCAAGTTTGCAACCAGCAGAACTTTCAGAGTATAGAGGAACATGTAAGAGGAGGGGATTATGGGATATGGGAGTATGTGCAGCCATTTTGTGGATTTCTTAGGGTCAGTCAATTCTCATTCTTACCCACTGTCAGAGAAGAGCAGGGGCCCCCACAGGATAAGTAGGATATTGAGGACACCCCAGCTTACTCCTTGGACAACAGAACTAGAACAAACCTCAAGGACTGCGCAGTGGGGGTGGGAGCAGGAAGCAGACTCACAAAACCACCGCAAACGGCTGCTCCTGGGGCCGAGCAGCTGCTGCATGGGGGCAGTGTGGTGGCCCTCCAGGACGGAAAGCCCTCTCCTTTCCTACAATTTGATTTCATCCAACAGGAAACCTAAGCACCAACATGACAGAAGTGCCGGGCGGGTGGGGAGGGTGGTGGGGCACTGGAAGCCAGGAACCCAGGCACCACTGCCAGAGTATTCCTCCTCCCTCCTCAGAAGACTCAACACAAACACTGTCATGTGCAACAAAAACGAAAAGCCTTCAGAAAGAATCCTCTGGGTGATCCCATCCATCATTTGTGCAGGCGAGAGAGGCACCTGTGAATGATAAGGCTACTGAGAAGCATCACTGGCCTGGTCCTGGCACTAACAGGGCAGGGGAAGCAGTGCCCCAAGGGCTCCCTACCAGCACATCATCCCACACAGAAACATTCTCCAGGTTCCTGGTCCGAGGCAGGAAAGTGGTTTGATCACCAGCTGAGCGCCCTGCCAAGGCTCTGTCTGGGGACCCCTTTCCTGGTTAAGAGAAGCAAATGAGCATCCAGGGGAGCTAGGAGAGCCAGAGCTGCCACAGCCCTGCTAACAAGAGAGACACAGTCAGGCCTGGGTGTGTCACTTGTCATGATCCCTGAAGGGCAGGGAGGGGAGGGGTCTAAGCCTCATGTCAGGCAGGGAAATGTTCAAGTCACTGTCCTGCCAGGTCACTGAAGGCGGCTACAGATGACGACTCCGCTTTGACTCTTCAGCTCACAGAAGAGCCACTGATTTCATCTGTACACATCTGCTCCGCATCCAATGCAAGCCTATCTTACACTTACAGATATAAATGTATGAGGCCTTGCACATGTCAGATGTATGTGAAGCCGACCCACAAAATTCAGATGCCAGCCAGGTCAGAGCACCCTGGGCCTCAGCACTGGACTACTTAGCAGTGGGAGCCTTGCACGGGCCAGGCCTGGCTGGGCTGCTTGCTCCCTTCCCAGCATGCCCCTGGTGCCAGGCTCCCTAGGCGGTGGTGGAGGTGGGCTCCCGGGGCCCTGTTTGGCCTGATGCTTCTGTGCTCGGTGCTCCAGGGCAGCAGGGAGCTTCTGTGGCTCCTATAGAGCTGGGTGCTGGGACCCCGGGCGCCCCGCCACCCTGCTCCTTGGAGACAGTGGCAGCCTCTGGCCTTTGCTCAGGGCTGCTGTCAGTGAGGGGGCCCTGGCCACCCGCACTCAGGTCCTGTACCCTCTTGTTCAGATCGTTGCGCTCTGTCTGCAGCGCCCGGCACAGCTTCTCCAGCCGCTGGATTTTCACCTGCAGGCCCTCCAGCTCTTTGTCCCGGAGGGTTTTCTAGGGAGAGAAAGGGGGCCTTTCAGTGCCGTGCATCGATCCTCCACCTGCCACTGCCACTTGGCAGAAAACATTCACACTCGAACAACACTGGGAACAGACTGGCGTCCAAAGCTGGCCCCTTTCAAGTAAATAGCCCTGGTTTGTGCCCAGACCCGGCCGTCAGTAAGGCAATGTGGTGTAAGGCAGGCGCATGGCTCAGAGACAATGTATTTCTCCATTTATCTACCAGAAGACCTTGGCAAAGTACTCGGTTTTGCAGCTTATCTCCTGATCTGTCACTCTTGTCTGCTAAAGTCAACCTCACAGACCTCGAGGGAAGGTTCAGTGTCCTGGCATAGCACAGACATTCCGCAGGTCTGGCTGCAGAAGCGGCTGAATTCCTTTCCTCTCCTACACCTCCAGTCACAAATCAAATGATCAGGGCCACTCCACATACAAACTACACACATTATTGGCACCATCTGTTTATCTTGTTCCTTATTCTTTTCTTCCATTTCTTCCCTTTGCTTCCATTGCGGGCCTATGACTGGGCTTACCACCTCCCCTGGGCAGAGCTGGCAGTGCCTTGGACTTGGACAGAAGCACCCAGCCTCACCTCATGCCAGCTGCATCACTTCCTACTAGAACTACAGAAAACGGCCCGATCCTGTCACTGCACACCCGCCCCTGGCCGCAGAGTGCACCAGCCCACCTCCTCAGCCATCTCCAGCAGGGCCTTGTTGCTGCTCTCCCACCGGGACCGGTACATGGTGGTTTCTTTCTCCAGCTTCTTGATCTTCTTAGTCATCTGGGTTAAATGACAGGAGAGCAAATGGTCAGGGCACAAGCTGTCTGCATCTGTCCCCGAGGTGGGGCAACGGTCCCATGGAAGCAGGCAGGGCAGTCAGGGCACAGCCAGTGCTTTCCGGGCCACCTTAGGACCTCAGGTTAAACGCCCACGCCAATAACAGGAAGCAGCAAGGCGGTCCCTTCTCCAGGACACACACCGACACTTCCTCAGAGGGAGGAAAGGGTGTGATTCCTGCCGACAGCCCCTCCCTTGGCCTCAGTCACACTGTTACTGCAGACAGCTCCCAGTGAGGCACCGCATTCTGAATGAAGCAGCTTGTGCCCCTGCAGCCATACCGGCCTGGCCAGTGTTACCTTTTCCATCTCCTGTTTGAACGTGGTGAACACCTCACTGCTTTTGGAAAGAGTATTCTGGAACTCCTCGAACTTCTCCGTGTATAGGGCAAGCTGGGCAAGAAAGAAGCCCACAGTTAAAACCAAACTTCCCCAGAGGGCATTTCTGGTCCGCACACTCAGACCCATGCTTGGCCCTCGGACCCAACAATTCCCAGATCCCATTTTCCTTCATGTAAGCCTAGAAAGTAGGATTTGGGGTGACATTTAAAAAAAAAGTTTATCTTCAGCTGAAACCGGTTTGGCTCAATGGATAGAGCGTTGGCTTGGGGACTGAAGGGACCCGGGTTCGATTCCGGTCAAGGGCATGTACCTCGGTTGCGGGCATATCCCCAGTAGGGGGTGTGCAAGAGGCAGCTGATCGATGACTCTCTCTCATCGATGTTTCTAACTATCTCTCTCCCTTCCTCTCTGTACAAAATCAATAAAAAATATATTAAAAAAAAAAAAAAAAAGTTTATCTTCAAATGTTTCTTCCAGAATTACGTATACTTTATAGAATTAAACCATCTGTCCCCATCCCCTCAAAAGCAGCACAAAAACTACTTCCGACTAGGAATGAAGTCTTCAAGCTCATCTAGCCACCTGGTCACCACCACACGTGCTGGGCAGGTCCAGAGAGAACAAACACTCAGCAAGGTCACATGGCAGTCAAGGCAGCCCTAGAATGAGGGTCCCATCCCCCCCCCCCCCCCCCCACCCCGGGACGGGTTCCAATGAGACCTTGGAGGCACAGTCTCACCTGCTGCTTCAGGTGGGTCTCCTGCTGCTTCATCAGCTCACACATCCTCTGGGACTCCACCGCCTCTTTGAGGAGCTATTTCCAAGATAGGACATCAGACCTCATCAGAAGCCCCGAGGGGCTGTGTGTGTTTTGCCAAACATACCAGAACCCATTGAAGTGTCCTGCTCTGGCCAGGCACCAACCTTTCCCATACAAACGTGACTCTGAGCTAAGCCAGAACCCAACCCACCCCTTCCGGACCCCCCAACCCCAGAGCCTGAGCCTCACAAAATCCTTCTCCCGCTGGTGCCTCTCCTCGGCCTCCTTCAGCATCTCCTGGGCCTGCTGGAGCTTGGCGTCCACCAGCTGCTGCTGCAGGTCCTTGTGCTTGAAGACTTTGTCGATATGCTGCAGGGAAGGAGGGGGAAGGGTCCACCTGTTAGGAGCTCCTTTCCCTTTCTCAGAGGCCGGCCTAGTAGCTAGACTTCAGGGCTCCCTGCCCAGCCTCCATCTCAACCTGACATGCTGGACTCCCACGTGTACTCTAGGACATGGCCCTACGTCCCTGGAGAGTCTACCAACCTCACCTATTTCTCTCCCTCAGTCAGTCCTGGGTGAGCATAGGGGTTTATGGATGAAATCAGCTCCCAGGAGTAAATTAATAAATACTCACATCTCCAGCCCCAAGGGAGATCAATCCATTGGCTGACAACCCTTACTTTTGTAGCCTGACTCCCTTGTAAGTGGGAAGAAAGGGCAAAAACGACACTTCTGCCAACACAACAGCTTAGCCCTATTGGCAGAGCTCTGCTGAACCTGTAAGTGAAGATCTGACATCCCAAGGAACAGCTGTCCTGACTGCGGGAGGAGCCCGGGAACTGGACGGGTGAGAGAGCAGGGGAGACAGAAGGCGATGGACTCCAGTGCTACAAAGGTACAAAAGGGATGGAGGGGATTGTATGATTTGAATGAGGAAGGGGACATGATGAATTCGTTCTCCGGTGACCTGAAGCCAGAGGCTCGGAGGGGGCAGGATGGCAGTACCTGATTCTGACTGGGGGTGGGACCCATACCTCTACCTCTGCAGGCAGTACCAAATCTTATTTTGCCTTGGTGTGAAACAGGTGGGGGTGAGATGTGGGAGAGGGGGAAGAGTCCTCAGATTTTTGAAGTAGGTGCCTCACTCTGGTGGCTCAGGAAGCCTCCATGTCTCAGTGCTGAAGGACAAGAACCAAATCAAGTCTCTCAAACCACACGCATCACAAGCAGCCTGGTTCCCAGAGGACAAAGTACAGGGAAAGATGGGTGGGTCAGGGGATGCCCCTCTGCTCTGCGTACAATGGCTGCCACTGGCCAGAGAGCCCCGGCGGGCAGGGTCGGGCCTATCCCAGCTATCACCCACCACCGCCCCTCAGAGCCTCGGACGGGTCTGGTCTGGGACTGTAAGGTCCCTGGCAGTGGAACACGAACACCCAAAGAGAGGGACTCCAGTGACAGGGGCAGCGGAGCAGGAGCCAGAGGACGTAGCCTTTACAGGGAATCACTGACCCCAGGTCTAGCTCATCCCCTGGGATTTCAAATTCTAAAAATTTCTGAAAACTGAAATTGTCAGAAGTTGGCAGACAAACTTGACCTGTACCTTTGTATAGCTAATTATAATGTAGGTGAGTGTACTCAGAAATTACACTGCATAAATATGAACAGTCTGATCTGGGGGTGCTGCCACAGCAAGGCCTGCCCGGGGGTGCTTTGTAACACACAGTACATGGACATAGCTCCAGTCTAATACTTGGGACAGTTCTAATTCTATAATACTAGAGGCCCGATACATGAAATTCATGCACAGAGTGGTAGTGGTGGTGGTGGTAGCCCCTCAGCCCAGCCTATACCCTCTCACAATCCAGGACTGTTCGCCTGCCTGCTCACCTGATTGCCCCTAACCACTTCTGCCTGCCAGTCTGATCACCCCCTAACCACTCCCCTGCCAGCCTGTTTACACCTAACTGCTCCCCCCCCTTCCAGGCCTGGTTCCCCCAACTGCGCTCCCTTGCAGGTCTAGTCCCTTCCAACTGCCCTCCCCTGCTGGCCATCTTATGGTGTCCACATGGGGCAGCCATCTTTTGTGTAAAAGTGATGGTCAATCTGCATATTACTTTTATTGATAGGATAGAAGCCTAGTGCATGGGTGAGGGCCGGCTGGTTTGCCCTGAAGGCTATCCCAGATCAGCATGGGGTTCCCTTGGGGCATAGAAAGGCCTGGGTGAAGGGACTGTGGTGGTTTGCAGGCTGGCCACGCCCCTGGCAACCCAAGCAGAGACCCTGGTATCTGGGAATTATTTATCTTCTACAATAGAAACTTGTTAGCCTGGAGCAGAACTAAGTCTTCTGCTTGCTCTGTGGCAGCAGCCATTTCTGCTGGGACTTATGTATCATCTATAATTGAAACTTTGTAGCCTTAAGCGGAGGCCTGAGCCTGCCAGGGTGTGTGGAAAGCTTGGCTTCCTCAATCACCAGAGGCAACCCTAGCCTCCTGCTCTTTCCAGCTCCGTGGCTGCTGCCATTTCTGTTTGGATTATCTATCTTCTATCACTGAAACTTTGTAGCCTTGAGTGGAAGCCTAGGTCAGCAAGGGCAGGCGGAAAGCTTGGCTTCCTACATTGCCAGGGAAACCCAAGCCTCCCTCCTGCTCTCTGTGGCTGTAGCCATCTTGGTTGGGGTTATTTGCAATATTTACTCCTGATTGGCTGGTGGGTGACAGAACATTGGTTAATTTGCATATTATTTTTATTTTATTAGATAGGATTCCTGGCCCTACCATTTAGGAGATACTATGAACCTGTGGTCATGTGGCTGTCTGCCATTCTCTTTTCCTTACCTCATCCTTGTCTACATGAGGATATGCAACATTGTTTCCCACCCAAGGAAGGAAGAATTGGAAAATGGCCCTAGCCAGTTTTACTCAGTGGATAGAGCCTCAGCCTGAGGATTGAAGGGTCCCTGGTTCGATTCTGATGAAGGGCACATGCCTAAGTTACCAGCTCAACCCCCAGCAGGGGGCGTGCAAGAGGCAGCCAATCAATGATTCTCTCACATCATTGATGTTTATATCCCTCTCTCCTTCTCCCTTCCTTTCTGAAACCAATCAATCAATGAATACTGAAAACTCTCTAAAAAAAAAAAATTGGAGAATGGAATGAAGCCTAAAAAGTGCTGTCCCAGTGCCTGCCACACATCCACAACCTCCCAATTCCCTGGCCAAGATCCTGTCCACAGCACCTCACCTCCTCTCGCAGCTCATACTGCTCAATCAGCTTCTTGAGCCTCTCAGCCAGCTCCATGTTCTCCTGGCGCAGCTTGGAATTGCGCTCATTATGCTGCTCCATCTGTAGCTGAATGTCATTCAGCGTCACCTGGAAGTGCGAGGTCACCTCCTTGCGTTTCTCCTCCTCTTCCCGGGCCCGCTGCACGCCTTCTTCCTGGGCAGAGAAGTCAGACCCAGCTCCATCATTGATTGCTCCTCAGCCAGCCTTGCAAGGCTCCGGCCACCACCTCAACTAGCCCAGGATGGTCTCTATCAATGGTCCTCCCTGCTCTCAAAGTGACGGATAGCCAGGCTCTAAGATGTCACGTACTGAGGACTCCCAATGGACCTTCCGTGTCTCAGGTGGCAATAAGTGAGAGCACCTCTCCCTAGAACAATGCAGGCATACTTGTTCAGAGCCATTCTAAAGAACTCTGGATATCCTGAAGCCTATTCTTACCGACTTATAAAGTAGTCTCTTCTTTTTGTGTGTGAGAATTTTTAGAGAGGAAGGGAAACAGGGAGGGATGTGGGAGGGAAAGGGAAACATCGATTTGTTGTTCCACTTACTTATACATTCATTGGTTGCTTCTTATGTGTGTCCTGACCAGAGATCAAACCCACAACCTTGGGGTACTGGCACAGGCTCTAACTGCGTTACCTGGCCAGGGCCTTAAGTAGTCTTATTTTAATGTGCTTTCATCTTTGACAGCCATCCCCCTCCCCACCCCACACCCACTTAACCATCAAGTAGTAAAGATTCAGTAATACCCAGGGTTGGCAAAGTTGTTCAGAATTAGGCACTCAGACACTGTTAGAGGGAAGGCAACCTGGGCAAAATGTATTAAAATTTGCACATGCAGTGACTCAGACATATCACTCCTGAGATCTATCCAATAGGTAAATTCTGTGTAATTAGTCAGGGACATATGTAACAAGAATTCTCACTAACTCCAAATACTAAAGGACTGGTGCACAAATTCGTGCGTGGGGAGGGTCCCTAGGTCTGGCCAGCGATCAGGACTGATCTGCAGGGTGACCAACCCACCAACAGGGTGATCAAGATCCCTTCCTTCCCCCCACCCGCCGTGGCTGGCCTGTGGGCTGGGAGGAGTTCCTGAAGTGAGCATCTGCCCCCGGTGGTCAGTGTGCATCACAGAAACTGGGCCTTCTGTCATTTGGTTGGTTTGCATATTAGGCTTTTATTATATAAGATAACAGTAAAAAATTAGAAGCTACCCAAAAATACCTTAATGAGGACGAAATAAAATGCTATATACCCATATAACAACACTGCTGAAAAGAATGAGAGAGCTCTATGCATACTGACAGGGAGGAAAGATACAGCATTGTGTAAAATGAGAATGGAATAGGATATGGAAAAATATGTGTATAATACTTTCATTTAAAAAACTGTATGTAAGATTTTCTATGTTGACAGGAAAGTTAAAAGATTGTACTTAAACTTACATATTAGTACATTTACTTCCCAGTGGTTTCTGCTGGCCACTTGGGTTGAGGACAGTGGGTGACTATAACCTTTGACCTGTTATACTTTTATCATCTTATATCAAACATATCAAATTTGTAACATTTTAAAAGACAAACTAAAAACAAAAAAAAAATAAAAAATAAAATAAAAACGAGCAAAGCAAGCTGCAAAATACCATATATTGTATTTACTGATCCAAATTGTATGACCTGGAGGTCATAGCAGTGACCAGGCTTTAACCAGTGACCCCACCCTAGCCAGGACAGAACAGGGAGAAAGATCGCACATTCCTGACTGACCAACACTGGGACAAGAGCTACTGGTCGGCACTGGACCCAGCTTACCTGGGGACTGTGATGGAGTTAAGAACTCCTGAAGGCCTGCACTCTGGGTTCTCTTTGCTTCTTAGCAAATGGTTCCAAGCAATTCTCGCTAACCAGAGCATTACTGGGAAATCTGTTTCTCCACTGAAAACCCTTGCTAGTTTTTAAGGGAAAAGCTGCCAAAGATACGTGGAAGTTAAGGTGACCAGTTGTCCCTCTCCGGGGTCCCAGCCAGCCTACCTTGAGGGAGCGGTTGTGGCGCTGCAACTCGCGGCACAGGCTCTCGAGCTTGCTGCGGGCCAGGATGGCCTTGCTGTGCTCACCACGCAGGTGGTCCTTCTCCTGCACCAGCTGGCTCTGCTTCTTCTGCAGGAGCTTCATCTGCTTCTGGGAGTTCCGGTGCTCCTCCAGCTAGAGACAGGAGGGCAGGTAAGCACCCAGGGAGGCTATTCCCATGGGGCTCCAGGGTCTCCTGAGCTGACCTAATCCTGGCCCTCTCCCCCGACTCCAGCCATAATAGTCCAGGATGGACACTGTGGGTGCTCCATTTGCTATTCACAATAACCCCTAGGGCCCCCGTACCGCAAGGATACAGAAATGGACACTCAGATAGGACAGAGGTACACAGCCAGCAGATCCACTTCTCTCCCAGCTATCAGACCATTACATTACCCCAACTCTGGGGACACTCATGCCCTCAGATGAGATCACCTGCTGCTCCTCTTTGTCTTACACTTATAACACATCCAGATTCAGAGTAGTCACATTTCAATCGGTCAATATGTCATCTTTCAGAACTGTACCCACCTCCAAGATCTCATCCCAAGCTAGGACTACCACATATTTTCCAAGCTCATCCTCTCCAATCCTTATCTGAGGTCTCAGGTCTACTACCCTACTGAACCTTCAAGCCTTTGAACCAACCACCCTTTCACTTTAAATAACCTCCTTCTCACTCAGCTGAAATTCCTTATGTCCTCAACTTTTCCCAGAAAAATTCCACTTTATTGACAGGAACTATGGAGGTAAAGGACCACGCTAAATGCCACCACAAAGCTAGAACAGGACAACTGGTCTGCAGTAGGTCAATGTTATGGGAAAAAGAGCAGGACAGTTAAGATAAAAACTTCTTTAAGGAGGGGAAAAGCCATAAAACACAACGTAATAAATGGACTGCCTTTGGATCCTGATTTAATCAAACTGACATTTTTAAACAATTGGGGAATCTGACTGTGGACTGGGTATTAGGAGAATATCGAATGATTAGTGTTGTTGCACTAGAATGTATAATTTCTCAGACTGAAAGAGGGTGGCTGGGACTACATCCCCTCAGTCAGATGAGGAAAAGGCTCAGAGAAGTTGAACAGAAATTAAGCCACCCACCTGCCCTTGTACCCTCAACCCCATGCTGGGTAGCCTGCTGATGTTCCGAGGCAGAGAGGGTGCAAGGAGAAGGGGGAGAACTGACCAGTTCAGCATACTTCTTGCACAGAGCTGCCAGCTTCTCCTCGGGGGTACTCAGTGTGTTCAATGTCTGCATCAGTAACGTAATCTCCTTTCCTGCAAAGGACAGGGAATAAAGACATGGACCACTTTCTCTGGGAGTCCCCTCCAGGCATGGGCCCACCTATCTTACATTTCTATTTGTTGAACTGGCTGCCTTATCTGCTACAATGTATGCTTCATGAGGTCTGCAACCAACTCAATTCAGCCTACCAATGTAGCTCAGTGCTATCTCTAGAGCCTCTTGCTGAGGACATGCTCAACAAATATTAAATGAATGACTGGCCCTAACCAGTTTGGCTCAGTGGATAGAGTGTCGGCCAGTGGACTGAAGGGTCTCGGATTCAATTCCAGTCAAGGGCACGTATCTTGGTTGCAGGCTCCTCCCTAGACTCGGCCCTGGTAAGGGCTCATGCAGGAGGCAAACAACTGATGTGTTTCTTTCTTTTTTATTTCTTTTTTATTTTTTTAAAAATATATTTTATTGATTTTGTACAGAGAGAAAGGGAGAGAGATAGCAAGTTAGAAACATTGATGAGAGACAGTCATCGATCAGCTGCCTCTTGCACACCCCCTACTGAGGATGTGCCCGCAACCAAGGTACATGCCCTTGACCGGAATCGAACCCAGGACCCTTCAGTCCCCAAGCCAACGCTCTATCCACTGAGCCAAACCGGTCTCTGCTGATGTGTTTCTTTCACATCGATGTTTCTCTCTGTCCTTCCCTCTCTCTTCTACTCTCCCTAAAAATCAATAGAAAAATATCCTCGGGTGAGGATTAGCAACAACAAAAATGAATGACCGAATCTCTGTGGAATCTCCTTGGTGAGCACCAGGAATGGGAGAAAAAAACCAACTACTTCTTTACCAACAGGTTTAAGAAAGGTGTTCCTGCCCGACCAGCATGGCTCTGTGGTTGAGTTTCAGCCTATGAAGCAGAACGTCATAGTTCGAGTCACATACCCGGGTTGTGAGCCTGATCCCCAGTAAAGCATATGCAGGGGGCAGCCAATCTATGATTCTCTCTCATCATTGATGTTTCTATCTCTGTCCCTCTCCCTTCCTCTCTGAAATCAATAAAGATATTAAATGTGTGTGTGTGTGTGTGTGTGTGTGTGTGTGTGTGTGATGTAAATTCAGTACTCCTGTTTCAGTGCAAGGAACTCCCTTCTGAAACAGGAAGAATGTAAAAAGGAACAGGTTTCTTTGAGAATTATGAAATTCTTATCAACAGAAATAGCCAAACAAGAAACTTTAAAATGAATATACTTTCCAATAATTGATCCTAAGATTAAAAACAAACCAAAAAACTTTCCTTATATTAGGATCACAGTTAGGGGAGAGTGGGTGGGTGAACGGGGAATAAATTATGGGTATAATACCATCCAACTTTGAGTCTTTAAGATACCCTATCTCTCTACTTCCACCTTCACCCAAATTACTCTCTGCCACTGCCGGTGCCTGAGTCAGATCCTTGCTGCCTCCCTGGAGGCCACGGCACACAGCACTAGGCTCTGCAATGGCAGCCCTGGGAGGCTCCAAGAAAGACTGCAAACCACGGGCACAGCAGGCCAAAGCCAACCCACAGACGGGTTTTGTTTGGCTCCCATCGTACCAACTGCCAACTGTTAAACATCTAGAGATTGCACGTAACTCTGGTTGGGTTTTGTTGTTTGTTGTTTTAAAGGAAGACAGTCTAGACTTAGCCTGTAGTTTTACATGCTATCAACGTGCTGAGACCCAGGTGGCAGTCAACCCTTGGAGGAAGTGGGCACTTTCTTGGCTAGCTTGGCTTGAGTTTTCAACCGGGGTCTAGTCCAATTCTCTTACTGTAGAGAAGTGACAACTAAGGACCAAAAAGGAGAAAGGCCTTGCCCAAGGTCTCACAGGTTAGAAATGGTGCTGGCTGGCATGGGAGTGCCCCAGGTCTCTGCTCCCCATTTTCTCAGAGAGCAGGTTGGGTTTCTCTTTTCATTTGCTCCCAAGGCCAGAAGTCCCTGTGCAGTGAACAGTGTGCACTCCTCTGTGCTCTGGCCCCAAAGCCCTGGCTATGATTAACCTGGTGTGGTACACGGCACTGGGAAGGAGTCCTAGCAGCGCAAGCTACCCCAGGAATGTCAGGTCCAAACTCTCCCCCCTCACCAGCCTCACAAGTGGTTGCCCTCTGCTCACCCAGACCCTTGGCTTTCTTCTTCTCCTGTGGCCTTCGGTGGTCTCGGTCTCCCACCTCATCACTTGCTCGGATCTCATCTGTGCCTGGCTCCCCCTTGGAGGTCTTCTCACCGTTGACTACTGGGATCTCTGGCTCAGGCTCCCCGTTCCTGGAGGCATAGGTCCGGGACTTCTCCGCATCGTCGGGTTCGGCAGGCTCACCATGGGCTCCATCCTCGCCGGGGCCCCCCTGACTGTTGTCCACACAGTATGTGCTCAGGATGTCTTCCAACTGGCGGCTCAGCTCCTCGGAGACATCACGGAGGGCTCCAGACTGAGAGGTTTTGGCTTGTGCTCCTACAGGAGGAAGAAGGGCAGAATGTGGAATAAGATGGTTATACCACTGGTCAAGATTTTTTCAGGCCCAAACTTACTGGTTTGGATTAAATGCTGCCTCATTTCTTTAAGCCTCAGCTTATTTACCTATAAAACGACATGAGTATTTCTCTTTTGTGAGTATGAAAGAAATCAGGTAAAGCATCCAGCACATAGCGATGGCATGTAGCAGGAGCTCAATGTCTAATCCACCCCCTTCTCCTCCTGGCGAAAATCACTTCTTGACAGTGAAAGAGTTCCAGAAATGCCTCCAATAGAAAGAGCAGCCGAGACTGGTTTGGCTCAGTGGATAGAGCGTCAGCCTGCGGACTGAAAGGTCCCCGGTTCGATTCCGGTCAAGGGCATGTACCTTGGTTGCAGGCACATCCCCAGTAGGGGGTGTGCAAGAGGCAGCTGATCGATGATTCTCTCTTATCAATGTTTCTAACTCACTATCCCTCTCTCTTCCTCTCTGTAAAAAATCAATAAAATATATTTTAAAAAAAGAAAAGAAAAAAGAAAGAGCAGTTACCCATGGGTACATGAGGCATTTCTAACCTGGACTTGCAAGTTCAGTGTCTCATTTGACTGCTCCCTATTTAATCCTGTCAGAGCCTTCTCTCAAGGGTTCTTTCTGTTCCTGTGCTTAAGAGTCCAAGGCTCTACCAACTCCCCAGGACACGGTGGGGACCGCACAGACTCAGCACTGTCCTCTCTCCTCCTAATTTCCTTCTTTCTGGGTAAACAGGGGCCTCTACCTCCAAAAGCTAGGCTGGCGCACCACAGGCTCCTCCCCCTGCCCCCTGGAAAAGCGGAGCTGGCACACACCCTCCGTCTTCCTGGGAGTCTGGCTGGCGGAACCTTCAGCTTGTGCTGCGGCCTGGACTCCCTCTGGTCCGGCTCCCCCTTGCCCCGGGTTGCTTTTAGGGTTGGAACTGTTGCCTGATGGCTTGGCGGCCCCATTCTTTTTGTCTTGGTTCTTCATCGTGGGTTGCAATGGTAGGCGAGGAGCAGATCCTATAGAAACAAGCACATTGGCTATTTTTCCAAGACTTGGAAATTCTTCTTAGCCTGGATGAGAAATCCCAATGCCGGATGCACAAAGCTTCTAAAACAAACTGGCCGACCTTCCCCGGAGATAACCCACGGTTCCCTCCGTCTCCAAAGGGTCAGGGGCACCCGGTGTGCCCAGGCGGGTTCCCGGGGCGCCGCTCCAGGAGCAGGGGAAGAAAGGCCTCCAGTCCCCCTGAAAGCCTCTTCGCGCTACACCGCGGCTCCTCGGGCTCCGCCGAGCGCCGGATCGGATCCCGGCGCCGACTGACGTGGCGGGACGCTAGATCCCCGGTCTCTCCCCCGCCTCCCGGGCCCCACATGGGCCTCCCGCCACCCCCCGCGCGCGCCGCCACCCACGCCCCGCGAGCGGCCCGCTCTCCGGCCGCCGCGCACGCGCAGAGGGAGGCCTCGGCCCTGCCCTCCGGCCCGCGATCTCGCGCGGAACCTGCGGGATCCTTCCCACTGACCGACGGCGCTCAGGTCTGCGGACCCTCCGACCGTCTCCTCCCTCTGGCCGCCTTGGCGCGGACCCCTCGGCCAACGTCCTCACGGCTTCACCCGCAGCGGCCTCGCACCGGAAACCCGGGTAACCGCTGCCGGCTGGCCGCCTGCGCTCCGCAGCCAATCACTAGCCGGCTCGCGCGCGGGGCTTGCTGGGAAAGATGAAGCGCGGCGGCCTCAGAGGCGGGCGAACTGGGAAGGCGGGGGAGGGAAAAAGACTACACGTCCCTCCATGCACCCGGGGTGACCCCCAACTCCCAGCATGCAATGGGAAGGGCTTTAGTTCTAGGAACCAGAGACTCAGGAGGTCCGAAAGGAGCCAGTCATTCTGAACAAACACCCCCCGCCAAGCTAGTTTCTCTTGCTCAGAAGCTATGATTCAGCCCCAAAAGCCTTTCACCTTTCTTGCACGCTTCCAACAACACTTCTCCCATGCTATGAACATGTATGACCGTCTGGGAACTGAGGACGAAGGACAAATTCCTGGGCTGGGAGCCAGGAGACTTGTATTATTGCAGTCCCAACTTCGTCATGCATTTGCTACGTGACTGGCATTCTTTTCTCTCCTCAGGACTCAATTTCCATATTCAGGTGGAAGCTTTCAGTAACAACAATAGTTCTCTGAGTGCTTACGATGTGCTTTAAAATGTGTATGTTTGTATATATACATACATATATATACATTCATATATATACACATTCACACACATACACACACACACACACACACACACAATAGAGGCTCAGTACACGAAATTTGTGCACAACGGGGGGTGTTCCTCAGCCCAACCCCAATCTGGGACCCCTTGAGGGATGTCCAACTGCCATTTGGGATTGGGCCTAAATGGGCAGTCGGACATTCCTCTCACAATCCAGGACTGCTGGCTCCCAACTGCTCACCTGCATGGCTTCCTGATTGCCCCTAACTGCTTCTGCCTGCCAGCCTGATCACCCCCTAACCACTCCCTTGCCAGCCTGTTTGCCCCTAACTGCCTTCCCCTGCAGGCCTGGGTCCCTCCCAACTACCCTTCCCTGCAGGCTTGGTCACTCCCAACTAACCTCCTCTGTCAGCTTGGTCACCCCTAACTGCCCTCCCCTGCAGGCTTGATTGCCCCCAACTGCCTTCCCTTGCAGGTCTGGTCCCTCTCAACTGCCTTCCCATGCTGGCCATCTTGTGGTGGTCATCTTGTGTCCACATGAGGGCAGGATCTTTGACCACATGGGGGCAGCCATCTTGTGTTGGAGTGATGGTCAATCTGCATATTACTCTTTTATTAGATAGGATAGAGGCCTGGTGCATGGGTGGGGACCAACTGGCTTGCCCTGAAGGGTGTCCTGGATCAGGGTGGGGGTTCCCTTGGGGCATGGGGCGGCCTGGGTGAGGGAACTGTGGTGGTTTGCAGGCCAGCCATGCCCCCTGGCACCCAAGTGGAGGCCCTGGTATCTGGGGTTTATTTATCTTCTACAATTGAAACTTTGTAGCCTGGAGCCATTTCTGTTGGAATTTATGTATCTTCTATAATTGAAACTTTGTAGCCTTAAGCGGAGGCCTAGGCCAGCCAGGGTGTGTGGAAAACTTGGCTTCTTCCATTACCAGGGGCAACCCTAGTCTTCTGCTCTTTCCAGCTCCGTGGCTGCTGCCATTTCTGTTTGGATTATCTATCTTCTATCATTGAAACTTTGTAGCCTTGAGTGGAGGCCTAGGCCAACAAGGGCAGGCAGAAAGCTTGGCTTCCTCCATTGCCAGGGAAACCCAAGCCTCCCTCCTGCTCTCTGTAGCTATACCCATCTTGGTTGGGTTTATTTGCATATTTGCTCTGGATTGGCTGGTGGGTGTGGCTTGTGGGTATAGCAGAGTGATTAATTTGCATATTACTCTTTTAATGGGTAGAATATATATATGTAGTTGATTTCAAAGAGGAATGGAGAGGGAGAGAAGTAGAAATACCAATGATGAGAGAGGATTATTGTATCATTGATTGGCTGCCTCCTGCACATCCCCTACTGAGGATCAAGCCTGCAACCCAGAGATGTGTCCATTCTAGCCAAGGACATATGCCTTCAAACTTGAACGCTTTCCCAACTCCCTCACACTTCCTAAGGATCCATGCCAGCTAGGAACACACACCAGACTGATCTGCTATCTTCCTTACCTCATTCCTCAGGCATTAAATGATTTACAGAATGCACCCTGCCTGTTGGGAAAGTTATCTGAAAGCTCCAGAGGGCCCGCAGGGCATAGCATCTTTTTTTAAAAGAAATTCGACTTCAATATTATTTTAAAAAATACATTGATTTCAGATAGGGAAACATCAATGATGACAAAAAAATCATTGATTGGCTGCCTCCTGCACGCCCCCTACTGGAGATCAAGCCCACAACCTGGACATGTGTCCTTGGCTAGAATGGAACCTGGGACCCTTCAGTCCGCAGGCCAATGCTCTATCCACTGAGCCAAACCAGCTAGGGCTATTACCAATTCTTAATTCCACTGTTAAGTCACAGGTTCAAACACATCACAAGAATCCAGTCTAGAAGAATTCCAAAGACGACAATTTGGAACTTTGCAACAGGTTTTTATTTTTGCTTTATTTCTATTACAGTGTTTGAAACCTAAAGAAATACATTTCTCTTCAAATTTGGATGTGTATATAAATATCATTTGTCTGGACTCAGCACACTCAATGCTATGGTTTCTTGGCCTATGTCTGCTCTGAAATCAAGCTTTGTTGTCTACCCAGGGGCCCTGAGAACATAGAAAATAGCCAGAGTTTACAGTTATTGGAAAATGAAAGTAAATTTGGAAAGGAAACCCAATGAGAAAAAGGGTTCAATTAACCTTTGCAGGGTCTGTACTGGGAACCCAAGCTGCTTTTGAGGGACATCTGGTTTGTCTTGGGTGATTGGGATCTCACATCACCTTTGCTTCTGTAGTGGCTCATTCAAAGGCGGTTCCTACAAAAGTTGGCTAAGAGTCAACACCCAACTATAGGGCTTGAGGGTTCTACAGAGGTGGACTCTCCAAGGCCATCCTCTGGGCCCGAGGTTCCCAGTCAGTCTCAGGATCTGAGATTTGACTTCCTTCACTACCCACGGGGAACGGCAGGATGTTCGGTCCTAAAACCCAGGGGCTGAAAATCTGACCTACACAGGGAGCAGGGCTCTAGCATTTAGAAGGGTTCAGTATGTTCTAATATGGATATCAGCATGGCTGGCCCAGAAATAGCGAGGTAGGCCCAAACTATACACTACATAAACCTTTATAACACTACACAAACCTTTCTCCTGTGGTGTTGAGCCCAAAATATAATGCTGCAAATTGGCCTGAGGCAAAATGCCCCCAAAGGAAATATAACAGCCTTAATTCAGACTTGGTTGGTGCTGACCTCAAATTCTTCTCTTGCCATGGTCTTAATCTGGGGCTGGGGGATAGACAAAAGGATTACTGAATCATTTATGAAGGCCGTGGCCAAAGAGCAGCTAGTGCCTATGACATGAATCCTCACAGGGTCAAAATCTCAGCTTGTTGGTTTAACAAAAGAATCCAAAAGTTAAGACAGAAAAAAATACTGGACAAGATTGGTCTAGAATCCTAAAACCGCTATGGAAGAAACAGGCTCTGAGCAATTTCTCAGCCTCACACTCACTTGTAGGAAGATGTTGTGACTGGTTATGAGCATGTTCCTGTGGTTCAGTACATGGAGCCTTGAATCCTTCCCCAGCCCGCCTGGGAGGCAGGCAGTCACACACACTCCTGCAGTCCCCAGCAGCCTGTTTACCCTACAGGTCCCTGGAGGGCCCATAGGGACCTGGGGAATCTGGCTTCCTGCCTTCCATTGAGAATCCAGAATCTGAGCCCACAAGACAGATCTACAGAGGAATACCCAAGATGATGGGACACCAAGCTGAGTGAGTCTCAGGAGAGGAGATGGAGCCGCAACATCTGAGCTGAGGCATTCAAAGAGGGGTATGTGGAATGAGGAGGGAAGCACTGCCAGGCATTCATCTTCCCTCCTCGTATGCTAGAAGCAGGAGTAACTCTATGATGTAGGGGAAGGCAGGCAGACACGAAAATGGAAACCCATTTCATTCTGTAGACCGTTTTTCCTTTTAAGCTGGTTTGGCCTGAGAGAAAAAATCTGTGCCCGAGAGCCTTCTTTTGCTCTTCCTTGACTAATTATAGTAGCAGCTCTAATCTGTGCAGTTCAGCTCAAAAAAAAAAAAATAAAAAAATAAAAATAAAAATTGGGCTTCCGGAAAGTAGCTTCCAGAGAAGGAGAATAAGTGGGAGGAGGTAGACCTAAGGGTCCTAGGTAATGGGGAACACCAAGGGCTCCTGAAAGCTGAAGTCATTAACGCCTGCTCCTTGGAAGGGCCATTGGTACTCAATGACCCAAATAACGAGGCTGGCCAGCTGAGGTGGAACCCATGTGGTTCTATCAGAAGGTGCAGCCAACATCAAGGCCAGGTAGTCGCTGGGGATACTTTAGAAATGTGGGGAGGCTTCTAGGGCAAGAGGCCCTGCTAGTACTGGAAGATGAAGAGGGACTGGCAATAAAGAATAGCTGGCACTGTTCAAAACAGTATATGAATACTTTAGCTAAGAAAAAGGCTCCCTATTCCCTTAATCCACACCTAGATACTTGCACCCACACCAGAGATCTTAAAGTGGACATACTTTATATGTGTCAACATATGAAGATTCCAAAGCATGTCTTACCAGGCTACTCCCTACAGCAGCCTGGCAGTCTCTCCATCCCTGCAACATCCATTTAGAAATCTACCCGAGGCCTTTGACCTCACCTAGGCCAGGGTCTGGAGTCCAGATGGGAGCTGTCCATGAAGAGTGGCTGTCCAGCCCGGGTGAAAGAAATATTTTGCTTCCCAAGATGGCCAAAGGAGAGGAGCAACACAAAGAAACACTGCCTCTGCGGCCGGAAGAACTTCACCTTTGACTGAGGGGTCAGAGGAAGATCATGGAAACATGGTCTGAGGAAGACACGAACAAAGGAAAGCTCCTAGGGGCCACTTTTATCCGATGAGAAGTCTGTCCTCATGTTGTGCCCCGGGCGGGAGACGTCAGCCTTGGAAGAAAACTGGCTTTCAGCAGCAGCCAGAGGACTAAGTCTTCCATCTGGTACAGGGCCCAGATCTGAAGGGAGAGTAGATTTTGGAGGCATAGTTGGGAAAAGCAAGATGTGTATGTCTCACAGTAAGAATTTGGTCCCAGTGTCAGGGACTTAACTATTGCTTAAGATGTACAAAGAAGATCCTACTCAGGTGCTTTCTTTCTCCTTTGGACAAGGATGGGGCTAGGGGTGAGAGTGGAGTTTTTCTTTGAACTATAGTTTGCAATGGAGTCAGCAGGCCAGGTGGAAAAGGTCCTGCCTCTTGCCTACGTGGGAGACTGGGGTTGAGTCATCATTCCTAAGCTGAAGAGTAGCATCTGACACACTTTTTAGTGATAAGCGATGGCCTGAAACCACCTTTCTCAGAAAATGGCTGTGGAGTTGGATCTCAAACAAGAATGAGGGCCAATTCAAGGCTGACAGTGAGCACCTGAACCTCAGACCTGTAAGCAGAGGGGCATGGATTTCTCCTGAGCCAGAGATACGTAGGAATGGAAGCAAGAATGGCACTGTTTCTGGGGAAGGGAAAATACAGCTTAGAGCTGGGCACTTCTGACTGACTGGCAGGAAAGCAGGGGCAGTGCAGATTGTGCCTTCTCAAAGTTGCTCTATTCTTACTTATCCGACAACTTACTCCACCCCATCCCCAACAACTGGGCTTTGCTCTCATATATAAGCCACCAAAGCATAGGCAAGCCATTGTGGCACTGCACTAGCTTTATTCAAGGAGAAAAGAAAAAAAGAGGACACAATGTATTCACCCGCGGAGATGGTACTAGTGAGCAGACAGATGTTTAGTTGCCTTCTCGTGACATTGTTCTGATTGCAGCAGCAACAGGTCTCGGGAATGTGTCAAGTGTCAAAAATGAAGCAAGTAACAATGGGCGGAAGCAAATCCATTGCTACCACGTGCTTGCTCTCTACATTTCCGTTGCTCTATAATATAGATGAGAGCCAACAAAGAAATATATCCACGAAGACCGCGGGAAGAAGAGTGCAAAGGGAGAAATCGTCAAGTGGGGGCCTGAGGATGGAGAAGTCAAGGTCGCGATGACAAAGGCTATTGTGAAGACTGCATTAGCATTACTCTATTATACAGTTCGAAGACCACAGCAAAATCCAAACTCTCAGATCAACAAAAGATTCAATGCGCTCCTTGCAACACAGTTCCCAGGAGTTCAGCCACCAACAATTGACCTAGATCTCCGGGAAGCTGCCATCTGGGTGAGTGCAGGTTTCTCGATGCCAAGATACTCAGCATCCTATTACCCATCGAGGACAAAGATCTTCCAGGTCCCACTGCCCAAGCGTTCGTGGCTCAACTCAAGCTATTTGCATCCTTCGCTGAAATGACACCATATGTCACAATGAAGGCTTTGATCAATGAGGGGTTGTCGGAGATTATATTGCTTAAACCAATATCTGGAGATGCAGCCAAATTCCTGGCGGCAGAAAAGGAGCTTCAAGAGCGATAATCCGTTGACAAGTTTCCATATCTTAAAGTACCCAAATTACCAGGACATAACAAGGTATCAACAGCTAGTTATCCTGACTTATTCAAGGCAGCTACTGTGAGAAAAAGAAAGCTGGATGGCACATTGAAAGACTACCATTCCACCAAGGAGCCTAACGCACTGACAGACCAAGAAGTTGAGGATGCTTTAGCTGAGCCACCGTTTAAGAAGAGTGGATCTACAACAGCTCCATTACCCAAGTCTACAGGCGATATACGGAGTCACTCCTGATGAAGTCAATAGGGTCCTTAACTCATGGAAGAAAGTCGTAGCAAATCCCGTAGACCAGTTTGCTTTATTAGTAGAACGACTGAACAAGTTATCAGCAGGCAGAGACACACTTGTGAGCAGAAGCAATCAGGAGCAACCTAGAAACCAATCTACCTCAACCTCATGATTCGTTTGGCCTTACCTCAATTAAGTGTTTGATTAAAGAAAAAAAAAAAAGAAAAAGAAAAGAAAAAAGGACACTAGGGTTATAATTATCACAAGGAAGGGCAAAACCCAAACCAGGTACAAGGATCCCAAACAGGGAAGGTATCGATAACTCTCACAAAAGTCCCGAGGCTGCTAAGTTAGTGATAACTGGAGAGTCAGCCATGAGTGACAACTTATGTGAACAAGGGTCTTTTGAGACCAAATCTAAGAAGGCGGATGCTTTCTGGGTTTTCTGATGTAAGCAGGATGCTCCTAGTAAAGATTAGAGTGTTATACTTCACCACACTGTGGGCTCATCCTTGCTTCCTTCAGGTACTGGGACAATCAGACCAAGCTGACATGCTACATAAAGGTTCCAGAGCTAAGGGTTGGTCCCTGGTGGTGGCCCAGAATCCAAGCAGAGAAGAAAAGGACCGAGCTCAGGCCTTCTGAGTGAGGAAGCTTCCACATTTCTTTTTGGTCTTCCTCACAGTAACCTACTAACAGAAATTAACAGTTCTTCCTCTCAAGACCAATTAAGATTGACCTACCTAATATATAGAATATAAAAAAATACAGAACTTTTTGACATTCTCTCCTTTGGAAATAAAATATACATGATCCAACTATGGAAGAGGAAGAAAGGCCAAAGGTAGGGATTCCTGACTATCCCAATACATGACACTCTCACTCCAACCTCCTCTGCAACTTATGGGTCACCAGAACAAGGACTTTCTCCTCAGGAGAAAGGAAGGATCACAGTCCCCTGTCTCGCGCTTAGGAGAAAATACAGCTACCTCAGAGGTTCATTCAACTCCGAGGGGAATTTTCAAGTAAACAAATGAAGTTGGGTCGCACCATTGGAAGGTGGGTAGGAAACATGGGATCAGTAGCGACACATGGGAAGCCCCGTCTGAAAGGCCTGTGCTCCTCCCCTCCACTCCCACGGGGGTAGCTACCCAGGACAGTGAGGGGGATCTCCCAAACTAAAGAGGTCTGGGCAGAGATTAGAGAGAGGGGGGAAGGGCCTTGTCTACAGGTGACCACCCCCTCAGCCTCTAGTCCCAGACAATGCTGGCAGCTGGGATTCCTAAAACCAGGAACTCATGGTTCTTGGAAAGAGCAACCTTAATACAAGAAAAATGTGCAAAAGAAAAAAATTAAATAACTCAATCCAAGCATACAAGATTAATATTCTGTCAGAGCAAGAATACTTTTTTTTTGGATTTCTCTCCTCCCCTCCAACCCCCGACTTCTGGAATTTTCCATCTGCTCAAGTACCCAAGATAAGAGTTACACAAATCAGGGCAGAGAACTGGGAAGAATGAAGGAAGATAAAAGGGAAGGAAGTCACTACTAAAGAAAAAAATAAACATAAAAAAGGTGCAAAATTGAATACCTCAGTCCTCCTTTGTCTACCCTGGGCTTCTGGGTTAAAGACATATGTGCAGCCAAAATAGAGTGTAAGGAAGAAAAACCCAACACGTCCCCTTCTTGTCACAAAACCCAAATATGAGCCTCAGATGGTTCTGTCTGTCCAGAGGGTCCTCCCTCAAAGGGAAGGGGTGGAGCAGGTCAAGAGCACAGTTTCCAGGGCAGCAGAGGTGTGTGGTGGCTGGTGGTGGGGGCTAGTTTCCCGTCCACCAGAGGGCTGCTTTTCCGCTGGTTGGTGGTGCTTCCCATCCCGTCCCCTCCCCGGAGGCAGACATTATAGCTGGAAGCCCTCCATGGGGGCCTCAGGCTGCTGGAAGATGAACTGCTGTTGCGTTTCATCCACTTGGGGAGCCAGGCTGCTGTCATCATCTTCTACACCGAAGTAGTGCTCAATGAGGTCGAAGGCCTTCTGGTAGATGTCCTGGTTCTCGTGGCTTTGGAGAAACTCAATCTTATCCAAGCCTAGGGTGGTAACAAGAAAGGAGGGAGAGTCAACTTTAATAAGTGCTTTTCTATTTTTTCTTTCCCTGAGGTATGTTGCTGTTTATAAATACAAATAATATGATCGAATCTTTATTTTTTTGACCTGGAAGAGGAAAGCCAACATTTCCCTCCCAAACTGCATAATCCCAAAGGAAAAATACCATATGTCAGTTATAGATCAGAGATTCCAGTCCTGATTCTGCTTTTATTTTTTTTAATTATTTAAAAAATATATTTTTATTGATTTCAGAGAGGAAGGAAGAGAGAGATATAGAAGCATCAATAATGAGAGAGAGTCATGATTAGCTGCCTCCTGCATGCCCCCTACTGGAGATCAAGCCCACAACTTAAGCATGTGCCCTTGACCAGAATAGAACCTGGGCCTTTTTGGTCCACAGGCCGATGCTCTTCCACTGAGCCAAACCAGCTAGGGCCTGATTCTGCTTTTAATTACTTATCTGAATCTCTGATATGACACCATCTTGTACTCTTGCTTGAACTTGCTATAAGCTCAGCTAAAAATATGCCTTCCATTGCCGGTTTTATTATCAATTTGGGGCTTTCTTTTAGCATCGGTATCATACTTACTTGCTGGGTAGAGCCCATCTGAAAGAGAACTGATCTACTGCCCCTGAGAGGAAGAAGAAACTGATTGGATAGGACCTTGCATTCAATGACACCTCACACATGTGTACTATGGAGGCCTACAATCCTGAGACTCTGACCTATGACCTCTCTACTTAAGTCAGAGATAACATTGGGAAAGGACACATACCATAGGCTTCTTCGATGAGGCCACAGTAGGGATTTACTCCTGAGCCACTGCGCTTGCTCTCTTGCTCTCCAAGCCGAAGGATATTCTCCAGTCCATTGAGGGCCACTTGAACAATCTTTGAATCCATTACAGTCAGCAAGTCACAAAGGGGTTTGATGCAACCCAGTGATACCAGGTACCTGAGGACCAGAGACCAGGCAAGTTCTAAAATTAATGCAGGGTTTGGAGGGAGGGGAGAAATAAATGGGAACCTTTAAGTTTAAAATATAAGGATGTTGCTAGGGTTGAAAGGTCCCAGGTTCGATTCAGGTCAAGGGCATGTACCTTGGTTGAGGCACATCCCCAGTAGGGGGTGTGTAAGAGGCAGCTGATCGACGATTCTCTCTCATCAATCTTTCTAACTCTCTATCCCTCTCTCTAAAAAATCAATAAAATATATATTTAAAAAAAAACACCAAAAAACAATAACTGTTATGCTGGCAGCAGCCTCACACACGTTTACCATGTTGCATCATTTTGTTTAGTATAGTAATACATAGTACTAGAGGCCTGGTGCACAAAATTCATGCATGGGTAGAGTCCCTAGGCCTGGCCAGTGATCAGGGCCGATCAGGGCCTTCTGATTGCCAGCTGGGGCCTTCCTTCATTCTGCGTGACCCCCCTGGTGGTCAGCAATCAAACTCACAGTCTCTTGGTCAAACTCCCAAGGGGACACTTTGCATATTAGCCTTTTACATATATAGATAGGCTTGTAGCCTATGAATGGAGTAGGCTAGACCACCTAGGTTTGTGTAAGTGCACTCTGTGATCTTTGCACAATAGCAAAATCCCCTAATCTTATAACATATTCTAGTCATTAAGTGGTGAATGACTGTAATGAATATATACTCCCTTACTAAGGGCAAGACACTTGCCTAATTCCCACCACTCCTATTCATATTGATAATGGAAACTAAAAACAAAACAAAAACAAACACAAACACATACACACACAAAACACACACATAATATTTTCTTTTTGTTTCTCCCAAGTATTAACCCCCAAAATGATTTCCTAAAGAAGTTGGTGCAAATGAACCATATCATGGCACTCCTTCATTTGCATGGATAACTGACAATTACATATAGTCTCTGGTGTGAAGAATGAGGTAGGAGACAGGTGTCTGTATCAAAGATTTCCGTTCTCCAGGAGAGAAAAGAGATACCTGGTCTATAGGTATCTATTCCAGACTCCAGTGCCACTCTAGCATTTTATCAGTTAGAACCTACTGCAGCTGCCACGCCAGTTCAGTGTCTGAGCATCGACACACGCACCAAGAGGTTACTGGTTGCTTTCCTGGTCAGGGCACATGCCTGGGTTGCAGGCTTGATTATAGATGAGGCATGTAGGAGGCAGCCAATCAATGATTCTCTCTCATCATTGATGTTTCTGTCTCTCTCTCCCTTCCTCTCTGAAATAAAAAAAAAAATATATTAAGGCCTAACTGTTTTGGCTCAGTGGATGGAGCATCGGTCTGCAGACTGAAAGGTCCCAGGTTCGATTCCAGTCAAGGGCATGTACCTTGGTTGATCCCTAATAGGAGGTGTACAAGAGGCAGCTGACTGATGTTTCTCTCCCATCAATGTTTCTAACTCTCTATCCCTCTCCCTTTCTCTCTGTAAAAATAAATAAATAAATAAATAAATATATTTAAAAAAATACATATACTAAGAAGGAGAGTATACATATCACTCCAGACAAGAGGGGGGGGAATCGGGGAGAGAAACATGATACCTGATTTGCTCAGGGGTTCCTCCAGATGTGGCATTGGTGATAGCCCAGGCTGCCTCTTTCCGTGTACGGAACTCTGCTTTCTGAAGAATTTCGATGAGCACAGGGAAGATGTTTGTATCTATGACAGCCTGAGAGAGGATTGGGGTGGGGATGGAGAAAAGAAAGTAAGTCACTTCAAGAAGAGAAACCAAATGCAGCCCATAAATCAGCTAAGATTTAGACCTCTTCCCTTCCTGGGAGTCTTCCTTTGTTCTTGTTACATAGATGAGAGATTACAGGGGAATCCGGCTTCCATTACACAGAATTTTGACCCTAATTTCTAAAAGGAAACAAAATTCTTCTAGAAGCAAATATTCTACAACCTACCATGTCTCCCTGCCTTCCCACCTGACATACTACCCCCAGACTTCCCTCCTGCTTCTTCTACCTGTATTTGAGCCCTGTTGCCAGCAGTGATATTTGAAATAGTCCAGCAAGCTTCTTTCCGAATTGACTCCTTGGGGCTGCTCAGCAAGTGGAGGAGGCAAGGGAGTGCTGAACAGTTGAGAATGACCTAGAATACCAAAAGCATAGACAACAAAAATTAGATAAATGGACTCAATTTTTTAAAATTTTTATTTACTTTTTAAAAAATACCATTTTTTTTTTTTTTCCCACAGAGAGGAAGGGAGAGGGATAGAGAGCTAGAAACATCGATGAGAGAGAAACATCGACCAGCTGCCTCCTGCACACTCCCCACTGGGGATCTGCATGCAACCAATGTACATGCCCTTGACCAGAATTGAACCTGGGACCCCTCAGTCTGCAGACCGACACTCTATCCACTGAGCCAAACCAGTTTTGGCTCAATCAATTTTTATGCAACTTAAAACTTTTATGTATCAGACGATACCATCAATAGAATGGACAAGCAAATCACAGAACAGAAGAAAATATATGCAAAACATATGACTGGTAAGGATTAATATCAAGAATATATAAAGAATTTCTACAATTCAACAACGAAGAAACAAACAATCCAATTTTAAAAATGGGCAAAGGATATGAATAGACATTTCTCCAAATAAGATATATAGATGGCCAAAAAGCAGATAAAAAGATGCCAAACATTATTAATCATTAGGAAATGCAAATCAAAACTATAATGAGATACCACTTTATACTAACTAGGATGATGATTATAAAAAAAAAAACAAAAACCCCAGAAAATACAAGTGTTGGTAAGGATATGGAGAAAATTGGAACCTGGCACTTTACGGGTGGGAATGCAAACTGGTATGGTCACTGTGCAAAACCCTATTGTGGGTCCTTAAAATATTACTCATAAATTTATCATATGATTCAATAATTCCACTTCTGGATACATATCCAAAAGAACTGAAAGCAGAGACTCAAACAGATAACTTGAACACCAATGTTCAATGCAGTATTACAGTAGCCAAAAGGTGAGAACCCAAGTTTCTATCAACAGATGCATAAAATACATAAACAAAATATGGTGTATGCATACAATTCAATATTATTTACACATAAAAAAGAATGAAGATCTGACACATGCTATAATATGAATGAACCTCAAAGACATTATGCTAAGTGAAAGGAGGTGACACAAAAGGACAAATATATATGGTTCCACTTATATGAGGCACCTAGAGTAGTCAAACTCACGGAGAAAGTAGTATTGTGGTTATCAGGGGTTGGAGGAGGAAATGGGGAGTTATTATTTAATGGGTAGTTTCAGTTTGAAATTATGAAAAAACTAGAGGCCTGATGCACGAAATTCGTGCAAGAGTAGGATTTCCTTCCCCTGGCTGTCGGCACCAGTTTCCCTCTGGTACCGGGATCTGGGCTTCCCTCAAGCTGGCCGAAGGCACCCAGGACCCGGGACCCCGGCTTCCCTTGCAGCCCTGGCTTCGTCTGAAAGGACATCTGGTCTAATTAGCACATTGATTTTATTATTATAGATTGTGAAAATGGATGGTGATGATGGTTAAATAACAATGTGAATGTACTTAATGACACCAGTAAGTTTATGTATGAATATTTGCTTACACACGCACACATAAGAATGGCCTAGAAAATGAGTGTGGATTTGATCACCTATAAAAAACTGTCAGGAATCCCACAGAATTATGCCAACTACTCAAGACTCAAAGAATACCCAGATCTCTAGCCTTTGAACAGAAGAGAACCTGTATACTGTGCCCTCCCTGTCTAGATTAACAGGAGGTAGTGTATGTATGTAGGATCCTAAGGTCTATGAAGTAGGGCTAAGGTTTCATAGCTTTTAATATCTCGAAAGGAAGAAAACTCAAAAACTGTTAATAATTAGCTTACAATGTCCCAGGTACTGAGTTAGATTAATTTAATGTTCCTTCAAAAGCACAGAATGAGCCCTAACCAGTTTGGCTCAGTGGATGGAGCATTGGCCTTTGGACTGAAGGGTCCCAGGTTCAATGCCGGTCAAGGTTATGTACCGTGGTTGCAGGCACATCCCCAGTTGGGGTTGTGCAGGAGACAGCTAATAGATGTTTCTCATTGATGTTTCCAGCTCTCTATCCCTCTCCCTTCCCCTCTATAAAAAAAATCAATAAAAATATATATTTTTAAAAAAGCACAGAATGAATAATTTGCTTCCCATTTATAGAAAAAAAAATGAAGGCAACCAAGTTGCCGGTGATCATATAGGAAGTGACAGAGTTGGAAATTTTCACCCACGCCCATGCTTTCTCTCCTAGTCTATGCTGCCTCCTATCAGCACCAAAGTTCTTGGTAGGGGAGAGTTTTGTCCACAGGCAGCTCTCTTCTTCCTTACCTGGGTTTGGATGTCATCCCCAGTGACGATGTTACCCACAGCTCTCAGGGCAGGAGAAGCCACTTTGTAATCATTATGCCTGCAGAGGAGGGAGAACTGGTGAGTGAAGGACAGTACATAGCACTCAGCCCTGCTGACCACCAAGCCTAACAGCATTCTCATGGCTCCAGATCTTGGGACAGGGCAGCAATTCTTTAGTCTGAGCTAGGAAAAGATTAGGGAATCTGTACCCTTTATGAGACCACTCACATTAGAAGCTCTACCAATCTCCTGCAGACTCCAGAGTCTATGACTGCCTGGATCTTCTCATTGGGGCCATCAGACAAATAAGAAAGGGCCCAGCAAGCATCTGCCAGCAAATCTGAGTCACTGCTGAAGAGTAGGCGAGACAGCACAGGCAAACAAGGGGAGACCTGTTGGAAGCAGAGTGAGAGGGACTCACAGGGGGATAGTTACATCAGCTCCACTACTACTAACACTGCTGTCCCCGCCTCTACAAGCACTGCTATGCCCTGGACATCCCTACAACATTAAACCATCAGGCCTAACTTTCCACTTTCCCATCCATGCACACAAGATCACCTACTTCATTGACAATAGCCTTTTTCAGTCTCCCCTGGATTGAGAGACTCACAGGAGTTCCCAAAGACTTGAAAACTCCCACATAAAAATTCATCCACTTGAAGGAACCTACTATCCCGCAGGAACCAGTAAGACACTCTCTCACCATTGCAAACTCTGGAGGTGGGTTCTTCCCTCGACAGAGGTTTGACAGGGCCCAGACTGCATTCCGTGTCATTGTCAATCGTGTGGATTTTGTAAGGAGCCTGAGAGAAAAAGAAAAGCCAGATCCTGAGCAATAATGTCCTTGGCATGGGGCTGTTGCCAATGGACCCCAGGAGCAAATCAATTAGATCCCTCAGTTTCTTCTTCCCCATAGACCTAAGGTAATAAATAGCCTGTTTGTGCTAGGAGGCCAACCTGCATGCCCAGAGGATTATGATATGAAATTATGATCTCTGAAGAACAGTTCATCCATTTATTTTGGTTTAAATGTAATACAGCTCAAAAGACAAAAATAAATAAATAAATAAATAAATAAATAAATAAATAAAAAATACCAGGGTTTTCAGATTTGCTTCTATTACAGGGTTGTCAGCATGGCTTACGGACAATTTCTCTCAGTGTGAGTAAGGTTACAAGATTTTGATAAAAATTCTTTCTTCACTTTTGGAATGTCTGAATAGATTTGTGGTCTTTTGTTTTGCTTTAAAACATGATTAAATATGCCTTAAAAATAAGTAAAAATAAATTAAAAAATAAATAAATGTATAATAATACAGCTCTACTTTAAGGGTTAGAGTGAGGGATGGTGAAAGGATCCAGATGACCTTTCATAGGGACTCTGACCTGAAATTTACAACAGAGCTTCCCAATGACCTGATGCATAAACCCATAGCAAATCAATGTATTCTGCATGGAAGGCTGAATTTTCAAAGATGGGATATCCTGCCTCTCTTCCTGGCTCAAAAATGAGGCAGGTATGACCAACACAAGATTCTATGATGCCATGAAATGTGGAAGCACAATATCCGCCTTGGCGCAGCCCAGCAGCACAATCTTCATGCTCTTATTGATACCTTTTAGTGGCAACAAAGTTACTTTTTATATTTACTTACCATCTTGAGGTAAGTTCCCCCCAAAAGAACTACCAGATGGCTGCCCTAAAGATGTCTCAGGTGCAGGTGATCAGTAATTAATTACTCACGTTAACAAAGGATTAAGGATGGAACAGTTCAAGACGTAATCCCGGCAAACGGAGCTGTCTCCAGCTATGTTTCCCAGTGCCCAGACTGCCTGAAAAGGGGATGATGAAACCGTCACCCACAGAGCCTAGTGGTTTCTTGGCGTACTTTATACTTACAACCATAGAGTACCCACCAATACTCAGACGAAAACCATATCAAGGCCCAAGACACACTAAATAAGCTCGGGTGCCATTTCTGTTGACTTTTTTTTTTTTTTTTTAATGTAGTTTTGTTGGTTTCATACTCACACAAGGATATATTTTTAATTGATTTAAGATTAAATTTTTTTTTAGAGAGGAATGGAAAGAGAGGGAGAAACATCAATATGAGAGAGAAATATGGACTGGTTGCCTCCCCTACACACCCTAACTGGGGATTGAACCCGAAACCTAAGTATGTGCCCTGACTAGGAATCAAACCCACAACCTGTTGGCATATTGGACGATACTCCAACCCAGCCAGAGTTTCAATTATAGAAGATAAATAAATCCCAACATAAACGGTGGCAGCCACGAAGCTGGAGAGAGCAGGAGGCTAGGGTTGCCCCGGGCAATTGAGGAAGCCAAACTTTCCTGGCCTGCCTTGGCCTCCGCTTAAGGCTACAAAGAAATGGCTGCTGCCATGGAGCAAGCGGGAGGCCTGGCTCTGCTCAAGGCTACAAAGTTTCAATTGTAGAAGATAAATAATTCCCAGATACCTGGGCCTCCGCTTGGGTTGCTGGGGGGCGTGGCCAGTCTGCAAACTACCACAGGCCCCTTGCCCAGGCCGCCCCACGCCTCAAGGGAACCCCCACCCTGATTCAGGACACCCTTTATGGCAAGCCAGCCGGCCCCTACCCGTGCACCAGGCCTCTATCCCATCTAATAAAAGAGTAATATGCAAATTGACTTTTATTCCAACATACAAGATGGCTGCCCCCATGTGGTCAAAGATGACTGCTCCCATGTGGACACAAAATGGCCACCACAAGATGGCCAGCAGGGGAGGGACCAGGACTGCAAGGGAGGGCAATTGTGGGTGAACAGGCCAGCATGGGAGGGCAGTTAGGAGGGACAGGCCTGCAAGAGAGGGCAATTGGGGGTGATCAAGCCTGCAGGGGAGGGCAGTTAGGGGTGACCAGGCTGGCAAAGGAGGGAAGTTGGGGGCGACTGGGCCTGCAGCGAAAGGCAGTTGGGGGGGACCCAGGCCTGCAGGGGAGAGCAGTTAGGGGGACCAGGCCTGCAGGTTAGGGCAGTTGGGAGCAAACAGGCCTGCAGGGGAGGGCAGTTAGGGGCAATCAGGCTGGAACAGGAGCAGTTAGGCATCAGACAGGCTGGCAGGGGAGTGGTTAGGGGGTGTTCAGGCTGGCATGCAGAAGTGATTAGGGGCAATCAGGAAGGCAGGCAGGTGAGCAGTTGGGAGCCAGTAGTCCTGGATTGTGAAAGTGATTGCAAATTGGAGAGGGTGCAGGCTGGGTTGAGGGACAAACCTCCTGTGCACAAATTTCGTGCCCCGGGTCTCTAGTCTATATAAATAAAAGCCTAAGCAACTATTATGAGTGATCATTATGACACGCACTGACCACCACACAGATGCACAACACAGGAGCTGCCCCCTAGTGGTCAGTGCACTCCCACAGCCAACCTCCTTCAGACCCTGAGCCCCGGCTGGCCAGCCGGCCCTGATTGGTGGGGAGGGACCCCACCCTTGCACGAATACGTGCACTGGCTTCTAGTTATAAATAAGAAAAGACACTACTATCACTGAGAAAATGTGAAGGATTTTAGGAGCTTTTTGCCAGAACTGGAAGCAAAGATCAAATATATTTTGAATTATACCACAGGTACTATCAAGAATTAAGCCAGCCTTGGCTGGTGAGTTGCTCTGTTGGGCACTGTCCAGTGCACCAAAAGGTTGCTAGTTTGATTCCCACTGAAATTTCTGGCTTAATCCCTGATAGGGGGGGAAGCAAGAGGCAGCCAATTGATGTTTTGCTTTCACATAGATGTTTCTGCCGCCGCCCCCACCACTCATCCCCTCTCTAAAAAATCAATTAAAAATATCTTAAAAAAAAAAGAAAAAAAAGAAATAAGCCAAATCTGAGCATTACCTGTTCCTGTACATCCTCAAAGTCCGAGTTAAGCAGCTCTATAAAAATGGGAACAGCCCCTGCTTCAATGACAATTTTGGTCTGCTGAGAGGTTCCAGAGGCAATGTTCGTTAGCGCCCAGGCAGCTTCAAACTGAAGGTGAGAGTAAACCATTACTGAGAAGTCATTCCAGACAAGGCAGCCATGCCCACCAGCTGGCTCAGGCAATAAGCCTCTTGTTTCTGACTAAAAAATAAATGAAAACACAGGCCTTTTCCACTCCCCCTTTAAATGGTAGGAAGAGGAATTGGCAGTGACATAACAGAATGGGAAGCCAGAAGTGGGCCTCAGTGGTCCAGGTTCTGACCTGCACTACCACAGCACCAATTAGTCCTTTAGCAAATCATTTTTTTTACTTCCCAAGCTGTGGAGGGCATTTTCCTTAAATTGTCAGCTGAGTCCAAAACAACTGCCAGAGCCGAGGCTCGGATACACATTTTCCCAAGATGGTGGAAAGTGTAATCAGCTAGGCCTTTAATCAGGCCCAGGTGTTGGCAGAGGCGGGTCTAGATATGTAAAGCCAGACAAGCAACAGGAATGCTAGGGCCTACTTAAGAATGCAAATAAGCTCCTTTGATCCTAAGTTTTGGTGTTACTTCTTGGTATTGGGGGTATAAAATAAATGCACTGGGAGGGGTCACGTTATTGTAGTTACAGCCTCTCCATCAGAGAGAATGGATGGCAGCTTTACATCTAGCCGAAACCGGTTTGGCTCAGTGGATAGAGTGTCAGACTGTGAACTGAGGGGTCCCAGGTTCGACTGGGTCAAGAGCATGTACCTTGGTTGTGGGCACATCCCCAGTAAGGGTGTGTAGGAGGCAGCTGATTGATGTTTCTCTCTCATCCATGTTTCTGACTCTCTATTTCTCTCCCTTCCTCTCTGTAAAAAATCAATAAAATATATTTAAAAAAAAAATCGATTTCTGCGTTTTCTCTTTTTATTTCTCAATCCCTGGCCGCCTCCACTTAGAACCAGTTCATTCATCTCTCTTTCCTCGCTGGACGCGGAAAAGGGAGATTCCCGCTATGTCTGGCCCTCACTGCACCAGGCCCCATGCACCAAGCTTCACTTTCTTTATTACTGAAACTAGGATTAAGGTGTGCTGGATCTCTCAAAGTCCCTTTCAGCTGAGTTTCTAGCAAGTTCCAAAAGATTGACACACCAACCATTTCTGAGAAGAAAAATTCAGAGGCTAAGTAATTTGCCTCAGGTCAGACAGGTAATGTGGAAGCAAACTAGCACCTCTGATTTATAAATGAAAAATCCATTATATTCTGGTATCTTTTCTTTGAAGTTATTCTAGAGAAGAGATCTGGGCGTGCGCGCTCTCTCTCTCACTCTTTTTAAAAAAAAAATCTTGCACACCCCCCACTGGGGATGTGCCCACAACCAAGGCACATGCCCTTGACTGGAATCGAACCTGGGAACTTTCAGTCCGCAGGCCGACGCTCTATCCACCCAGCTAAACCGGTTTGGGCTGGGCTCTCTTATTTGAGGCTAAGACTTCTAAGCAACAGTTTCTCTTAACTGTTTCCTTAGACATGTGTCTATAGAAACATCCCACTGCAATTTCTTTGAAGGAGGGCTTTCATCTGATACCATCCCATCCCAGATCTCACCTGTAATGTACAATTCTCATTCCTCTTCAGAAACTCCACAAACCGATCCACCACCCCTGGCGTGTTGATAACTTCATCTATTGGAGGGCTAGGCTCTGGAAGAGGGAGAAAGAAAAAGGAGGAAAAGTCAGGATAGGCTTTGGCTGATGCATCCACCCGGGTCAACTCACCATCCTTCCTAGATACTCCTGACCATCCTTATAAGCAGGCCTAAACTCCTTTTGGGTGAGGTGGTTTTTGGTCATCCCTGAACTGTATGAAGCAGTTGGGATGCTAAAGAGTAAAGCCTATCCTAATTTAAGTATACTCACCTTTGGCCTATTGAACCTAAGCAAGTATGTAACCTTACTTACCCAAGCAAGGAAGGAAGGAAGAGAAGAGAAGAGAAGAAAGCTCAAGGGATGACCAACCCTGGTTTACACATTTTCCTTCTAAGACCAGAATTCCTTTCTTGGGAGAGCTGCTTAATATACGGAGACAAGAAGTATTTTTACTATCAAATTTTTACTGAGCATGAACAATGTGCCCAATACAGTTCTAGGTACTGAGGACAATACCAAAAGTCTCTGTTCTCACAGAGCTTACATACTAGTGAGGAGAGAGATTCTATTTACAGAAGGTAATAAATATAATGAGGAAAAAAAGAATAGGTTGAGCCAGGTAAAAAAGACTAAAAATGCCAAGGGTTGGGAGATAGCCTATAATTTTAAATAGGAAATCAGGGTAGGCTTCATCGAGAAGGTAGGATGTGATTCACAGAAGTGAGGGAGTTGTCATCCAGATATGTCAAGTAGAGGGTATCAGGCAGAAGGAATAGCCAGCACAAAGGTAAAAATGTGCCTGGCTTATCTAAATACCAAAGCAGAATGAGTGAAGGTGGGTACGTTGATGAGGTCAGTGAGAAGAAACAAGACACTAAATCATGTAGGTGGTCTCTTCGGGGGAGGGCCAGGCTTTGTACCTTTAGAGAGCAGTTTCCGGAATTTCTGTGTGGTTGCTAACTGCAGGTCAGAGTCATCAGAAAAGAGCATCTCTACCATCTCTCTTGTGATCACACTCTCCTAGAATATAAAACAGGTTCAAAGCTTTGCAAACCAACACTAGAGTAAGACATGAGCACATAATCCTGTGTGGCATCCTACTTTGTAAAGAGTTGGGGGCAAGAGGACAGCGTAACAGACAGGCTCAGGAGAATGCGCTGGTTTAATCCATGGCTGCTTCAAGTCAGGACATTTGAAAAGTAATTCCTAACTTTTTTATTTTTTATTTTAATTTAATTTTTATTTTTACAGAGAGGAAGAGAGAGGGATAGAGAGCTAGAAACATCAATGAGAGAGAAACATTAATCAGCTGCCTCCTGCACTGGGAATGTGCCCGCAACCAAGGTACATGCCCTTGACCGGTATCGAATCTGGGACCCATCAGTCCACAGACCGATGCTCTATCTACTGAGCCAAGCCGGTTTCTGCAATTCCTAACTTTTGAAGCAACTGATGGCTTCCTTTCAGTGTTTCCTAAGGTGTCTCTATTAGAGATAAATCCTTGTTGTCTCTTAAAGCTGACCAACTACAAAAGGGCCCATGGAAGGAAGAACTTTGCATGGTTCTGAGCAAAACCACTAGATGCTGTGAACTGCCCTTCTGTTCTGTAGAAGCAGGTACTTCCCAGGCTTGCCTGAAGCAAGGGCCTTACCCCAGTGGTAGAGCTCACATAGGAGTCCATGAGGAGACTATCAAACATGGCAGCTTCTTCATTAATCATCTCCACATTTCTCCGTTTAAATAGCTGCAAGAGAAGAGAAGAGATGATGGTTAAGCCTATTCACTGAAACAAAAACAACATCAACAAAGAATAGCCTAATGTTAAATTATGGCAAAACTGTCAAGGAAATGCTAGCATAATTGAGAAAATGCCAAGTTTAACATACTGACATAGAAAGTTATTCAAGAGCTTTCCTTTCTATTTTATCTATTTTCATTTTTATAAGAAAAAAAAAATCTTTAAAGATTCAAATGCCCTTTGTATAAAAGGTGAAGAGAAGAGTACAAAGGCTTTGAAGGAATAATGGTAAAAGCAAGAGGGTAGGCAAAAGCAGGTTAGGTGACTACATATACTGTGTTTCCCCGAAAATAAGACATCCTCCGAAAATAAGACCTAGTACATGGAAAGATAAGACATCCCCTGAAAATAAGACCTAACACAACTTTGGGAGAAAAAATTAATATAAGACACTGTCTTTTTTTCGGGGAAACAGGGTAGGTTTGGGCAAGGCACCAATTTAGTGGGTGTGTGAAAGAGCATAAATGATGAGGTATTAATATACTCTTAGTCCTAAGAAGACTTACAAAGAATGGACCCAGGAAAGAGAAATAAGGCAATCCAGAGTAGCAGATGAACCTCTTAAAGGTCAGGCTTGAAGCTAGGCTTGAAGGCCAGGCCTAACACTGACTTAGGGTAAACAAGAGAGAAGGCAATAAATAAGGGGCTAGAACCAAAATGTTATATTGAAGACAGAAATGATGCTGCTAAGTTATTCTAAATTATGAAAAAAGAATAAGGAATTGAATTTTCTCTTTCTCAAAGCTTCCAACATTTCTTTTTCTTTATCTTTTTCTTTTTTTATAAGATAATTTTTTTAAAAATATATTTTTATTGATTTTTTTATAGAGAGGAGGAGAGAGGGATAGAGAGCTAGAAACGTCGATGAGAGAGAAACATCGACCAGCTGCCTCTTGCACACTTCCTACTGGGGATGTGCCTGCAACCAATGTACATGCCCTTGACTGGAATTGAACGCGGGACCTTTCAGTCCGCAGACCAACGCTCTACCACTGAGCCAAACCGGTTTCGGCTTCCAACATTTCTTTACAACAAATGAAACTATCAAACATGGCAGCTTAGTTACTTGGATCAGAGTGCAAGGTGGAGGCCAATCATGGCAGCTGGATCCTTTCTCTGAACAATATGTTTAAAAATACTCTGGGCCAAGTCAAAACTGGTTTGGCTCAGTGGATAGAGCGTTAGCCTGCGGACTGAAAGGTCCCAGGTTCGATTCTGGTCAAGGGCATGTACCTTGGTTGCAGGCACATCCCCAGTAGGGCGTGTGCAAGAGGCAGCTGATTGATGATTCTCTCTCACTGATGTTTCTAACTCTCTATCCCTCTCTCTTCCTCTCTGTAAAAAATCAATTAAAAAAAAAAAGAATACCCTGGGCCCTGGCTAAGATAAGAGTGTTGTCCCAATATACCAAGGCTGTGGGTTCGATCCCCAGACATAGCACATAAGAATCAACCAATGGTCCTGGTAGGTGCAGTCCAGAGGTTAGAGTACTAAAGGGTTATCCTTTAATCATGGTTAAGGGCATGTACCTGTGTTGCAGGTTTGATCCTTGACCCCAGTTGGGGCATGTGCAGGAGGCAACCAATTGATGTCTCTCTCTCACATGGATGTTTCTCTCTTTCTCTCTTTCTTGTCCCTTCCTTCTAATCTCTCTCTTAAAAAAATAAAATAAAATTAAAATAAATAAATAAAAATCAATGGAAAAAATATCCTTGGGAAGTCTGGCCAGCAAGGCTCAGTGGATGAATGTTGATCTATGAACCAGAGATCATGGTTCAATTCCCAGTCAGGGCATATGCCCAGGTTCTGGGCCTGATCCCCAGTATGGGGCGCACAGGAGGTAGCGGATCCATGACCGTCATCATTGATATTTCTATCTCTCTCTCCCCTCCTCTCTGAAATTAAAAAAAATATATAAGTGGAACAAATTGATGCCCCCCCCCCCCTCAAAACCCACATAAAAGAAAAATTTGAAAAATAAAGAATACTTGGGTTAACCCACTTGTTGCTCCCGCTTCTGCTTCCGAAGCTGAATGCCCTCTTCCTCTCTTCTTCGCCTCATTTCCTCAGGATTTAGGGCATTGTTCTTATAGCTCTTCATTCGATAATTGTCTTTCCCTGGGCTTGCCATGGTCTCTAGAAGAGAAGATAAAAACACATTGGCAAAGGCTCTTAAGAAGACATTTCCTTTTCCCTGGGCTCCTGTCTACCCACCCTCCCTTACTCAGGGAAACCACACATTCTCAAGAAAGCATAATAACCTCATTAACCACACTTGACACCTCTACCACCACCAACACATTTAACCAGCTTATTATTTAATCATAATAAGCTGGTTAAATTAAGTGTAATTACAGCAATTTATATAAGCATAATAGTTAAATGTGTAGGCCCTGAAGGCATTTTGTGAAGGTTCAGATTCTGGCTCTTTGCTTTTTAACTGTGCAAACCTTCAATAAATTGCTTTAACCTCTATGCTGTAGGATCTTATCTTTAAAACGGGGACAGTTCCTACTTCATAGAGTTGTTAGAAAAATGCCCTTGCCAGGCAGTTCAATTGATTAGTGTCAGCCCAATATGCCAAGGTTGTGGGTTTGATCTCCAGTCAGGGTACATACAAGAATCAACCAATGGCCGAAGCTGGTTTGGCTCAGTGGTAGAGCGTCGGTCTGCGGACTGAAGGGTCCCAGGTTCGATTCCAGTCAAGGGCATGTACACTGGTTGCGGGCACATCCCCGGTAGGGGGTGTGCAAGAGGCAGCTGGTCGATGTTTCTCTCTCATCGACATTTCTAGCTCTCTGTCTCTCTCCTTTCCTCTTTGTAAAAAACCAATAAAATATATTAAAAAGAAAAAAAAAAAAAAGAATCAACCAATGAATTCATAAACAAACAGAACAAAAAATCGATGTTGAAATCAAATTTAAAAAAAGAGAGAAAAATTAAATAGGTTAATACATGTGAAGTACTTCTTAGAACATAATATGGTAAATGCTCATAAGTTATGATCACCTCCATGATGAGAAACAGTTATATGACTTGCCCAATAAACTCAAATATATTTAACCTAGCCAGATGAAACAATTATAGTATACACAAATTCAGTGGAATCCCATGTACTGTTTTAAAAGGACCCAATTTTAAAATTCATCTGTAATATTTGATACATACAATAAGAAACAATGTTGTTACCAAACAAAATAATACAATGAGAATCTGTAAACCTACCACCAAATTAAGAACTAGAATATTATTAATATGTGTGGGCACTGGCTGGGTAGCTTAGTTGGTTACTGTCATCCCCATATGCCGAGGCTGCACAGGACAACACTCCAACCAACTGAGCCACACAGGACTCACCCCTTTTGTTAAAAAAAAAAAAAAAAGATTAAAAAAAATTATTGATTTTAGAGAGGAAGGGAGAGGGAGAGATAGAAACATCAATGAGAGAGAATCATCGATTGGCTGCCTCCTGCATGCCCCCTACTGGGGACCCAGACATGTGCCCTTGGCTGGAATAGATCCTGTGGTGAAGGCCTGTGATGGGGAGCTGGAGCAGGCTGGAGGGGAATAATGGGGGGAAAAGGGGACATATATAATACTTTCAATAATTAAGTTTAAAAAATAATAAACCAAAAAAAAAAAATTAAATGACCTACCTGACCAGGACCTAAAATAAAAAAATTAAAAAAAAAAAAAGGGGGGGGGGTGCCTAGGTAAGTCAAAAGGCAGAGATTGGTAGAAAGAATAAAAAACCAAACATGGCCCTAAGCGTTTTGGCTCAGTGGATAGAGCATCAGCTAGACAGAGCATCAGCTAGTAGGGGTGTCGAACTCAATCAGAGAAGAGGCCAAAATCTAAAATCCAGCCTAAATCGCGGGCCGAATGGTTTACTGAACAGTCATAAACTGTCATTGTGATGGAAACGCAGCGGAGTGCAGTGATGAAAGCGCGGTGCGGGCCACATTGCAAGGCCTGGTGGGACGGATTTGGCCCACGGGCCTTGTGTTTGACACATGTGATAGAGCATAAGGGTCCCCCAGGTTCGATTCCGGTCAGGTCAAGGGCATGCACCTCGGTTGTAGGCACATCCCCAGTAGAGGTGTGTAGGAGACAGCTGATTGATGTTTCTCAGTGATGTTTCTCATTGATGTTTCTAACTCTCTCTCCCTCTCTGTAACAAATCAATCAAATATATTATTTTTAAAAACCCCAAACACGATCCAACTGATAATGTCTGCAAATATTTATTGTATATTCAAAGACACAAATGGCCTAAAAGTAAATGAATGGAAGAAGATTATTTCATGCAAGTGGTAATCAAAAGACAGCTGGTATGGCTATACTAAAATTAGACAAAAATCTTTGTTACAACAAAGAAGGATATTACATACATAATGTAATTGACAAAAGGGACAATTTATGAAGATATAACAATTATAAAACAAATGCACCAAATTAGAACCTCAAAATATATGAAACAGTGATAGGCTTGAATGGAAAAATAGTTCTACAATAATATTTGGAGACTTCAACATACCACTTTCAATAATGAATAGAATACCTAGTTAGAAAATTAATCAGGAAATAGAGCTACTAAACCTAAAAGACATATAGAATATCCCATTCAACAACAACAAAATATGCCTTCTATAGTATACATGGAACATCCTCCAGGGTAGACCATGTTAGGCCACAAAGAGAGTCTCAATAAATATAAGATTGGAATCTTAAGTATCTTCTAAGATCACATGAAACAAAGGTAGAAATAAACACCAGAAAAAAAACTGGAAGATACCACTTCATACCTACTAGAATGGCGGTAACAAAAACAAAAGAAAACAAAATAACAAGGTGTCCAGAATGTGAAGAAATTGGAAACTGAGGAGATTAAAAATGGCACAGAGTAGGAGGATGCTGCATGGACCTGCTCCCAGAAACAAGTTGGAATTACAACTGAAATTACAGAAAGGCTTTCTGAATAATCAATGGAAAACTTACAGGAGAGAATCCTGATACCCAAGGACCTAAGGTGGAGGCCAGACACACACAGATTGCAACTGAAGTCCCAGAGAGATAGCTCAGTGAGGGGGAAGGGGGGGCGCGGTGCCACTTAGAACTCTGGCATCTCATCCTCAAGCTGGGCTTCCCAGCAGAGAGCACCAAACCGAGGAGGTACCCACATAACACCTAGCTGTGAAAAGCAGTGGGGTGCTGTCTGCCAGGAAGAGGCAGCTGAACGTTTGGGCACCCTCCTAAAGGGCCAACGCACAAAAATTCCCTGTGGAGTCACCATCTTGTGTTCTGGCAGAGGAGGGTAAAGTGGACTGGAGCTGTGAGAGCAGAAGGCAGACACCCCAAGTGTCCTGGGCTGAGTCATTCCCTCTCACAGGGAGGACATCTTTCCCACATAGGCATCTGCCTTGCCTGGGGGGAAGACAGTTGACACACCCTATTGGAAAACATCTTGCCCTGAGGCCACTTAAAAGATTAAAAACAACAATTAGCCTCCAGGCAGAACAACTGCCCCACCCTGCTGAAAAACTCTCCACAATCCTGAGGATTGCAATTCAAGTTAGAGTCCTATTACCCTGTTTCCCCGAAAATAAGACAGTGTCTTATGTTAATTTTTTCTCCCAAAGTTGCGCTAGGTCTTATTTTCGGAGGATGTCTTATTTTCGGGGAAACACGGTAGTCTGTAGACAGAGGCAGTCTATGGAGGCTTTGAGATTTTGACTGATCCAATTAGTCAGAAACAGCCTTCAACACTGTCCTTCACTAAAGATTGAGAGGTGTAGAGGATCTACCTAAAACAGTCACAAACCCAAACAACCAAAATGGGGAAACAAAGAAACAACCCAAAACGAAAGAACTAACAAATTCTCCAGAAGAAGAGGTAAATGAAGCAGAGATAAGAAATTTATTTGAATAGAGTGCAGAGTAATGATGTTAAAAATGCTCAATAGTAAGAAAAAAGATATAGTAACTATGAAAAAAGAATAGTCTGAAATAAAGAATGACATAACACAAATGAAGAACACATTGGAAGGAATACACAGCAGATTAGGGGAAGCTGAGGATAGAATCAGTGAATTAGAAGACAGAGTTGAAAATATCACTCAATTAGAGAACCAAAAAGAAAAAACGGGAGGACAGCTTAAGGGAGCTATGGGACACCTCGAAATGTAACAATATTAGAATAGTAGGTGTGCCAGAGGAGGCAGAAAGGGAGAAGGGAATAGAGAAGGTGTTTGAAGAAATGATGGTAGAAAACTTCCCTAACCTGGTAAAGGAAAAAGTAATACAAGTTCAGGAGGCACAGAGAACCCCAAACAAGAAGAGCCAAAACAGACCCACGCCCAGACACATCATAATTAAAATGCCAAAAATTAAAGACAAAGAGAGAATCTTAAAGGCAGCAAGAGAAAACTGGTACCTACAAAGGAGTTCCCATGAGGCTGACACCTAATTTCTCATCAGAAACTCTACAGACCAGAAGGGAATGGCATGAAGTACTCAAGGTAGTGGAAAGCAAGGATCTAAGACCAAGATTACTATATTCAGCAAGGCTATCATTCCAAATAGATGGTCAAATAAATAGCTTCCCAGACAAAAAAAAAAGAAGACGACGACGACGATGACTAACAGAATTCATCAACACCAAGCCAGTATTTAAAAGGATTGCTGTAAGGGAATGCTGAGAAGAATAAACAAAGAGAGAAACCTAGCCATACAGAATTAAAATGGCTATAAATAAGTACCTCTCAATAATAACCCTAAATAAATGGGTTAAATGCTCCAATCAAAAGGTATAGGGTAGATGAATGGATATAAAAACATGACCCAACTATATGCTGTCTACAGTTGGTCCATGAGGTCTGAAAGGTTGGCGACCATTGGACTCTACAAGAGACCCACCTCAAAACAAAAGACACACATAGGGTAAAAGTGAAGGGCTGGAAAACAAATTTCCCATGCAAATGAGAAAAAAGAAAAAGAAAAAAAAAGGCTGGAGTAGCAATACTCATATCTGACAAAATAGACTTTTTATTTTTTATTGATTTTTTACAGAGAGGAAGGGAGAGAGATAGAGAGCCAGAAACGTCGATGAAAGAGAAACATCGACCAGCTGCCTCTGC